CTTGCAAGAAATATTATAACTTTTATAACTTGGAAATAAATTTGGGAATAATCAAAATTAAGTGTAAAATCCAGCAAAAGTCAGCCATGAAATAAAAATAATTGTATGTAAAGTAAGGACCTACGTACATCAAATTGTCTTTAAATTAAGTGGTGTCAGAAGAATTATTGGCTTTTAATCTAATGTGTGTGTGTGTGTGTGTGTGTGTGTGTGTGTATATATAAATAATAGTAAAGGTATTAGTGTATAATCCAAGTGGATCCTAGTAATATAAAATATTAAAACTGATACACAAAAAGAGCTCTATGTATTTATTACTACAGAGCAAATAAATAGCAGTAAACCATAAAATCACAAATTACCTCATATGGAGTATAGACCTATTTCAACCGCCGAAAACTGTCAGGCTTATTCAACTCCAGTTTATACACAGAGTTTGTGACGGAATTATAAATTTCTAATTCTGACATGAACTCAGTCTATATACTGCAGTTTGAATAAGACTCACATATTAAAATCATTAAAAGACAAGAATGCCGATAACTCCTTCACCATTTCTTGGACCAATCTTAATTGTTTTATAACCCTTCACGCAGAACCTTTCACTGCCAGGTCACAAAAAAAGAGAATGTCTCATACTGAGAATATTTAACATTGAAAAAAAAAAAAGGAAAAAATTAATTATTTTTAATAATATGTGGAAATCTCCACATTTTGCCTGATGAAGGTCATGAGATCGGAAACACATGTAGCAAAATTACAGGAAATAAAGCATAATATTTTTCTTTAAAAAATCCACATTACAACCAAAAACGTTTGCGGTTTCTCTTTTCTTTTTTATATATATATATATATATATATATATATATATCTCAGTGTTTCTCCACTGGTGTTCCCTGGCATACTAATGCACCCTGAAAAGTAGCCAGGTGCACCCCAAGTTAACAGAAGAAAAATTTATGAATTATTTTTATGCTTATAACAATTGTAAGCTGATAAAACCTTATGATTTTGTAAAGTTAAAGACTAAATCTCATTCATAAGATCTGAACATTAAAACTTTTTCAGTTGTTCTATATTCCTCTCTACCTATTGTGATGAAGGCCCAACTAAGAGCCCTCTGCAGGAGCTAGCTTAAATGCTGCCCGCTAGGGTAGCTTTTAAACTAGTTTATAAATTATAAATTTACTAAATTATTAAAATATATCAATAATATTAAGCATAATCTTTAAAGTTCCAATTCATTGACAATCAGCCAATTTTTTTCTGAGTATTCCAATAAACAATATACAGTGTAACCCGGATATAAGAGAAACCCGGATATAAGAGAGATTTTCTCTGGTCCCAAATTAGAGCCTGTGTTAATGTATATAAAATAGACCAAACCCGGATATAAGAGAAACCCGGATATAAGAGACTTCTTCTCTGATCATGACAACTCTCTTATATCCGGGTTACACTGTAATAAATCATGTAAATAAACAATTTCATAAATAATTAGACTAATATTTTTGTTGGCAATTTCCAAGAACAAGGAAAATGTGTAAATTCCTTTTAATATGTTTAGGTTTTATTAGAATTCCAATCGTTGCTTTTTTAAAACAAACATAGCTGACAGGTGAAGCTAGTTAAAATAAATGTGGTTTCATTGGAAATACTGTCCATATGACACTTTGGTTATTTTTTTTTTTTTTAGACATGAAGGTCCAGCATTGACAAAGATTGAATTATAAATAGTAATTTTTGAGTGATGGGTCCGTCATGAAAATAAGCAGTCAACACAATTTAGACAGTTTTGGACAGTTTCTATTTGGTAAGGCCTGGGGCAGAGTGAAAAAAAATGAATTTAAACTGTCTCACACTTTTATATATATATATATATATATATTATTAGTGGTCAATATACATATAAAAAAATATATATGTATATATAAATAAAAAGAAAGAACAGTAAGATTATATATATATATATATATATATATATATATATATATATATATATATATATATTCCCAAGAGGATAAAATCCAGGTAGAACTCAATGTCCAGGACAGAGTAAAATATAAAAGGCTGAAACACTAATATTCCATGGTTATAATTTATTACATTGAAATCATAATCACGATCCAATTCATCAGACCTACAAATTCAAGAAGAAATTGGAAAATATAACTCCAGATATAAAAAACAAAATTTTAGTGAGAGTGTATGCGTGGGAGTGGGAAACAAGTGTGAGTGGGAAACAAGTGTGAGAGGGAAATGTATTAAAGCTCTAGAGAGAGGGGGAACAGAAGAAAGAAGAAAAGAAGGAAAGGCCTAAAGGTGAAGGTGGGGATTAAAATTTAACAGAGAGAAGTTTTAAAGAGAGGAGGTAAATAATGGTTTAAAAGAGTGAGATCAGATAAATATGAATTATTTTTTGATGCACACACATCATATATATATATATATATATATGCACACACACTCCATATTTTGCAGCTTGGAAGATGCACCCTAATATTGGAGAGAAATTTCTAAAGGAAAAAAAAGTCATTCTCATAGAACAACACATTCACTATGCGTCCCTCAGAGGCACCACGTATTGTTTACATTAATCATTCATCCAATTTTGTTTGTATGGTAATGACATACTAGTCAAGAGCAGAAAGGCTCTCGCCACTGCTAAATAAACAGAACATGTTTAAGTTTGTGGCTCAGCTCCAGGAAGGTTTATAGTCTTGGAAATATTTGTAACAGCTAAGTACTTAGGTTACATTATATAAAAGGCTGAATTAGATAGCTAACATTATAGTGTAATGACTCAACATACAAATCCATGTCCTTATCAGTCAAGCCAATTAGCTTATTTGAGCCTGGGTGTTGCCTTACATTCATCTTGGAAGAAGCACATGCATTTTTCAGAGTATTTTTCATTTTATTTTTTTAAGGGAAAAAATGCGTCTTGCAAACCCGGAAAATATGATTTTTATATATATATATATATATATATATATATATATATATATATAAAAATTAATTTTTATTCATTTGAGTCACATATTTGTGATAAAATCTTCAATTTATTGACTCATCAAAGTAATGGGTTGGAATAAAAGCATATTTTTTTTGGCAATAGGTGGTGTTTGAATATGTGATTTTGTTACACATGTGACTACAATCTACCTATATATATATATATATATATATATATATATATATATTCTAAAAAATGGCATTTCAATGCATCTTCCTACACAATTTATGTGTGGATTGTGAATTTGTAATATTTTTATGCTAAAAGTGAAAATGAAATATATTTTCATCAGGTGATGGGTTTTTATTTCTGAAAAGGAAAAATATGCTACACAAACAGAAAAATAAATATGTGCCAATTATGGAGATGGTGCCATAGCTAAGAGTATTGTTTGTAAATCATTTTCTTGATTCAGATATACTCCATGAATGCTCTGGCAGTGCTGCAGACAGTGATTATGTCCAAAGTGAAATACTGATGAAAAACAATCCAGCTCACATGACATGAGATGTCGCAACTAATTGATTTGTTTTTTACGGTTTATTAACTTTTTACAGGTTATATTAAAGCTAGAAAATATTTTTAGAATTCTTTTTGAGTGACAATAATGATTCACTTAAATTTTTTTTTTTTTTTTTGAGATAATGATTTACTAATAATGATTTTTTGAGATAATGATTTACTAATTAACCCATAGCTAGGGGAGAAGGTGGATTCATACCTAAACAAAATTTGATAAGCAAACAAATTATAATATGGATATGAAGTGGGTGATCAATTCTATATTACAATCAATACATAAACTGATCCCTCACTTTGCGACCATGCTAGTTTCTATACATTCCAGAGAATGTAAATGAATGTAAGACATGCTGACAAGAAATTATAACATGGATATAAAGTGGAGGATCAATTCTATATTACGATCAATATATAAACTGATCCCTTACTTTGTGGTCACCATAGTTTCTATACATTTATTTTCCAGAGAATGTAAATGAATCTAAAAGACATGCCTGTGTAGCTAATCAGTATTTCATTGATTGATTCGTTTTCTAAGGTTTATCGACCCTTTGCAGGTTATTTAAAGCCAGAAAATATTTTTAGATTGTAAGAATTTTTTTTGAGATAATATCGATTTAATGATACAAATGTTACTAATTAATACATAGATGGGGGAAGAAGGAGGGTTTATACCTAATCAGAATTTGATAAGCAAACAAGCAATTATAAAGTGGGGGAACAATTCTATATTACAATCAATATATAAACTGATCCCTCACTTTGTGGCCACAGTAGTTTCTACACATTTATATTCTAGAGAATATAAATAAATCTAAAACCCATGCCTGTGTAGCTAATCAGTATTTCATTGATTGATTTGTTTTTGACAGCTTATCACCTCTTTGCAGGTTATTTAATGCCAGAAAATACTTTTAGATTGTAAATATTTTTGAGATAATGATTTAGTGACACAAGTTTTTCTAATTAACCAATAGCTGGGGGAGAAAAGGTGGATTCATACCTTCTCAAAGGATATTTGTGTATAAGTGAATATAACAAAATCAAATGGTACTGGATCTCTGTCGGCAGGAATTGCGAATCTAAAGGGGTGGGATTTTAGCAAGGGAGGGAATTGAGGAGACATTTGTATCATATGCATAAAACATGAATGAAAAGTGATTAGGTAGACTATATATAAAATTTTGTGATGTCTGTTAGTCCATCCCTCAACCCTCTAAAATAGCCATACATTGACTGATTGAAACAAAATTATAAACAGAGCATTTACTTAAATATTTGTATCTATAAAAAAGAATGTATAAACATAATTCTAGTACATGAAAATAGAGGCAAAACTTCAGAAACGGACATGGACAACCGAGGGCAGCAAACTGGATTCAGGAATTGGATGACAGATTCTTAAAAAAATACATAAAATCAGAGAGTTCTGTTAATAAAAGAGTAAAAACAGTTTTCTCACTTTTTTCTTCACATTCTTGGTTCGCAGAATTCATTGAAGGGAGAATCTTTGAGGTTGGCATACGGTTCAGAAGCTGTGGAAAAAAAAAATGAAATGGTGCTTATGTATATAAAAAAACTAATAATGAAAACGAGTTTAGGACATAGCAACACTTACATGAGTCTTTGTGAATGATTTTTTAAACTAGTTTAAATCACTGTCTATATTTAAGATGAGGTGTAATGAACACTATTTACATTATTTGGACAATTGTCCTCATCTTTGTTGCCATATTTATCACCCTTAAGTATCTGTCTATATTTCTGAGATGAGGTATTATGTACACTATTTACATTATTCGGACTATTGTCCTCATTTTTGTTGCCATATTTATCATAATGTTTTGTTTGTACGTTCTGACCTTCTTCAGGTGGTTAGAATGTCGAACTGAACCCTTTATTTCGCTTGCTGGGGGTAGACTGTTCTAGTTCCATGTGCCATGTCTAATGGATGTCAGTAATCAGTTATCTCCAAGTTCTCCACCGCCTTAACCAGGTATTGAAATCACACTCTTTGGGTCCTGTCACTGGATCTAAGTAACGCCTTTATCCACTGTGCCATGTGTCCATCTGTGTGTGAATTTCTGGGTATTATAAACCTAATGTCTTCAGCAACCATTTTTTACCAGTTTTTATATTGCAATTTTTGCTGTTATCATTGCAGATATTTTTTTACCAGAGCTCATATTGCAATTTTTCGGTGTTATTATTGATTTTCTCTGGCACTCCTTATTACTGGTTTCAAAATTGTTTTCAGTTCTAGGCTTGGTTGGCTCAGGAGATTTTTGTGGCCTAGCATATTTGTTGATTCCTTAAGTTTATGAATTTTCCCTTAAGGTAAGGCTTCAAGAACATCAGGAAGCTCTAACACGAGGGGAAGTGGAAAAATCAGGCGTGGCTGACCACATATGGAGAGAAAAGGGAGAAATCCTAGACAAAAAACATCATTGGAAAATTCATAAACTTAAGGAATCAGCACATATGCCGACCAAGCATAGAAATGAATACAATATGGGAACCAGGAATAAGGAGTGCCAGAGAAAAGCAATAATAACAATGAAAAATTGCAATATGAGCTCTGGTAAAAACATGCAATGATAACAGTAAAAATTGCAATATGAGCACTGTTAAAAAATTTTCTAATGAAAAAGGCAGCAAATACTGGACAAACTCCTCAAAGATGATGAAGAGACTTGAAGCAACAGAAATGTGGTTCTACAGAAAGATGCTGAGGATACAATGGACTGAACATGTGAGCAACAAGGTTTTGGAGAAAATGGAAACAAAAAGGAAACTTATAATTAACATCAGGTAGTTGAAATTTCTACAGCACATGAGAAAAGAGGGCTTGAAAAATCTGATGCACACAGGACAGTTTGATTCATTTAACAAAGAACTTATCTCTCCCTCAAGTCGACTAACAATAATTTGATTGTAACCTGCAATCGGAAGTGAAGGGTTATCATGCTCTGTAGGAGATTGATTTCAATGATTTTCTCCAGGGACATGACGACAGAATTTGGGTCCCACTAATGATGATGATCATCATCATCAAATAGGCAGGTGAAAGTGGAAAAGGCCTAATCTCTGTTCAAGTGAAATGGGACAGAGAAATCTACCAAACTTGTTAGCACATAATGAGGAAGGAGGGCTTAGAAAATCTGATACTCACAGGACTGATTGAGGGAAAGAGGAAAGCAACTCTTAACTTACTTGATGAGTTTGAGTAAAGGAATGGTAAAATAGGAGAAATAACTAAAAGACAAAACTTATTAAGAACAGGAAGATGTGGAGGGACATGACACATAAAAGACAACAACCCTGAAAGCAAGAAGTTTACGTGCCGCAATCATGTAAACAAGAGAAAAATGATATAAAATATTTTACCATTTGTATAAAATGCTGCAGTTCTTCCTGTCGAGAATTTTGCTGCATCAAACGTTCACTAAGAATCTGGTAGTCATCTTTTAATCTGAAAGGAAGAATATTTTTATTTTATCTTATATTGATGATGGTTGCTTTATTTTTAATTTCATTTTTGATAATTTTGATTTTATAACAGAAGTCATAAAGTCAGAATTTCATAGATGAAGCGTTATTATGATTAATTTTTGACTAGTTTTTCACATTCTCTCCACTGCTTATTTACAGTGCATAGTATTTAATTAATATTTGTTAATAGGAGTAGATAGGTTCGCCTATCACCAGGATCACACTCCTCCCTTGTCTTTTGAACAAGAGTTGTGGTTTATCCCTTGTTTCCTGTTTAGGATTGGGGGTTTCTTCAACTCGGTTCCTTCTAACGTCTCCGCCTAAACTCTGAAATATTATTTATTTATTTTTCTTCCTCTATAGATAGGTTTTTCTAAAGGTTTATCCCTTGTTTTCCCGGTTCCTTCTAAAGTCCTTCAACTCTATACTTCTAACGTCTCCACCTAAACTCTGAAATATTATTTATTTATTTTCTTCCTTCAGTAGGAGTAGATAGGTTTTTTTGAATAGGAGTAGAGGTTTATCCCTTGTTTCCTGTTTAGGATTGGGTTTCGGTTCGGTTCCTTCAACTCTTCCTAACGTCTCCGCCTAAACTCGAAATATTATTTATTTATTTTCTTCCTTCAGTAAGGAGTAGATAGGTTTTGAATAGGAGTAGAGGTTTATCCTTGTTTCCTGTTTAGGATTGAAATCTGAAATTTTAATCAGTAATTATTTTTGTTAACATTGCATAGCATTTAATTAATTAATATTTGTTAATAGGCATAGATTGGTTTACCCATTGTCCAGTTCACACTCCTCCCCGATCTTTTGAACAGGATTAGAGGTTTATCCCTTGTTTCCTGTTTAGGATTGTGTTTCTGGTCCCTTCTAAAGTTGATTTCATTTCTATACTCTTAACGTCTCAGCCTGACCTCTGGATTTTTATTCGCTAATTAAATCTTGACCTCTTCAAATCTAGAATTAGCTATCTTTCCTGGTATCTTGCCCCTTGCTTACACTAGTACAACTCTACACAGTAACCCTCTACCTTGGGTGGCTCTTGAGCCTTGTATTGAGTGAACATTAGTCAAAAAAAAAAAAAAAAATAGATGTAATAGTGTCAATTACTTACATAAATCATTGTTGCCTCCGACAACAACCATTGTTACTTGTGAGTACACCTGTTTCAGTGGACATTTTTTTAAAGAGTGAAATTTATATCTATCAGACAAGAAGCAGGGAAATAATGCTTTGGGTATGAAAACAAAGTTAGCAAATATAGACTTCCAAATGTCCCAACAAGAGATGTGCATTTCTTAAATAGGGTAATTGGGTCTTGCTTTGATGTAAGTGCCTCTGCTTCGGGATGGAACACAGGTTCAATCCTTGCCAAGAGATACATTTTCTTTAAGACTGAATTCTTCTAGGCTGATAGATAGCAATTTCAGTTTTGGGAGAAAAAGACAACAAAAAAAATAATAAACACTATTTATATATTAGATTGTTTATTTACACTATTTTTTATTTTATTTATTGGAATAAACATCACCTAACTGCCAATTGATTCAAACTTTTGATGGCAAATAATAAGGATTTCGTTATCATTAGTGCACATATTTCAAAATTGACGGCTTTTAGCAACCTTCACTCTTTGGCAATGTTTGTTTTAAAAAGCAATGATTAGAATTGCAATAAAAAATAAACATGTGACAAAAATGAATTTATACATTTTTTGTTCTTGAGAATTTACAACAAAAGCAATAAACATTGTTTATTTATTATATTTTTATTGGAATGGTTGGCAAAACATCGACTAATTGCAAATTGATTCAAACTTTATAAAATGGTAAATAATAAGAATTTCCTTATAGTTGGTTTACATATTTTAATAATTTAACAAATGTTTATAAATTCATGAATAAAAAATTATTTTCATATTTATTTCTTTATAAATAAGGAACTGTTAAATATTACATTCTATTAGTTTTTAGAATGTTGTAAATATAAAATTATTCTTGTAAATAAACAATCAAATAATGTTTAATATTTTTGTTGTAAATTCTCAAGAACTAAAAAAATAATGTATAAATTCACTTTTATCATATGTTTAGGTTTCATTCCAATTCTAATCATTGCTTTTTAAAACAAAAAAAAAAAAAAACATTGCCAAAGAGTGAAGGTAATTGAAAAAGCGATGTCATGGGAAAAACTCTCCTTTTGATATTACATCTTATTGTGGGCATGTTTGTCTATGTTTGCCAAAATTTCATTAGAAACAGAGAAAAGAGCAATGAACTTTTATGCAATATTCATTCTCCTATAAGGTAGTGAATCTCCTCAAAGATGAAGAAACTTGAAGCAACAGAAATATAGTTCTACAGAAGGATACTGAGAATGCTGAGGCTGAATATGTAAGACATTTTTAAGGAAAATGTGAATAAAAATAATAATACCTGTCAAAAATGGCAGGTTTATTTACATACTGACCAGCATTTCTGCTTGGATCAGACAATCTGTATTCTCCAATGACGATCATTGCGTCACTCAAGCCTCTATTTATGATCAAAGCGTAGAGAATCAAAACAACATTCATATTTTACATACACTGACATTCTTCAAATGTCATCATTAATCTTTTTGTTGCAAGTTTTATGTCCCAGTTTCTTGCGTTAAACATAAAAATCAAATAGTCATAAATTGGGCGTGGTAGGGTTGACGCCATTGAGGCAGCTGTGCATGAAAGTTAACCTGAAGCAGAACTTGGGACACATGAGAGTCGCATTTGTGGATGACAACTGACCAGTAAATTCATTAAATAAAAAAATAAAATATATATATATATATATATATATATTTACAAATAATCAGGAGGAATGTGTTTTGTTTGGAATTGGTCGACTCCTCCTCGGACTGGAATTTCAAAAATGAATCACATCAAAAGGATTTACATTTGTTTTGACCGGGTTGTGAGACACAAGTAAAAGAATAAAGGGCAGAGACAGAAAGGGAGAGATGGGTGAGATTGTGGGGGAGGGGAATGAATTGGGGAGGGAGGGGGAGAGAAAAGAGGAGAGAGAGAAAAAGGAAAAAATGACAGAACAAGAAAAAGAGAGAGAGAGATGCAGAGAGAGTGAAAGAGAGAGAGAGATGCAGAGAGAGTGAAAGAGTGAGAGAGATGCAGAGAGAGTGAAAGAGTGAGAGAGATGCAGAGAGAGTGAAAGAGTGAGAGAGATGCAGAGAGAGTGAAAGAGTGAGAGAGATGCAGAGAGAGTGAAAGAGTGAGAGAGATGCAGAGAGAGTGAGAGAGATGCAGAGAGAGTGAGAGAGATGCAGAGAGAGTGAGAGGGAGTGAGAGAGAGACAGACGGAGGGAGGGAGGGACGGACGGAGAGAGACAGACGGAGGGAGGGAGAGAGACAGACGGACGGAGGGAGAGAGACAGACGGACGGAGGGAGAGAGGGACGGAGGGAGAGAGACAGACAGGACGGACGGAGGGAGAGAGACAGACAGAGGGACAGGAGAGACAGACAGACGGAGGGACAGGGAGAGACAGACAGACGGAGGGAGGGGGGACAGAAAGACAGACAGACAGACGGGAGGGAGGGACGGAGAGAGAGAGAGAGACAGACAGAGGGAGGGACGGAGACAGACAGACAGAGAGGGAGACAGAGAGAGAGACAGACAGAGGGAGGGACAGAGAGAGAGAGAGAGAGACAGACAGAGGGAGGGACAGAGAGAGAGAGAGAGAGACAGACAGAGAGAGGAGAGAGACAGACAGAGGGAGGGACAGAGAGAGAGAGAGAGACAGACAGAGGGAGGGACAGAGAGAGAGAGAGACAGACAGAGGGAGGGGGACAGAGAGAGAGAGACAGACAGAGGGAGGGACAGAGAGAGAGAGACAGACAGAGGGGGAGGGACAGAGAGAGAGAGAGACAGACAGAGGGAGGGACAGAGAGAGAGACAGACAGACAGAGGGAGGGACAGAGAGAGAGACAGACAGACAGAGGGAGGGACAGAGAGAGAGAGACAGACAGAGGGGAGGGACAGAGAGAGAGAGACAGACAGAGGGAGGGACAGAGAGAGAGAGACAGACAGAGGGAGGGACAGAGAGAGAGAGACAGACAGAGGGAGGGACAGAGAGAGAGAGACAGACAGAGGGAGGGACAGAGAGAGAGAGAGAGACAGACAGAGGGAGAGAGAGAGAGAGAGACAGACAGAGGGAGGGGGACAGAGAGAGAGACAGACAGAGGGAGGGACAGAGAGAGACAGACAGAGGGAGGGACGGAGAGAGAGACAGACAGAGGGAGGGGACAGAGAGAGAGACAGACAGAGGGAGGGGACAGAGAGAGACAGACAGAGGGAGGGACAGAGAGAGACAGACAGAGGGAGGGGACGGAGAGAGAGAGAGACAGAGGGAGGGACGGAGAGAGAGAGAGACAGAGGGAGGGACGGAGAGAGAGAGAGACAGACAGACAGAGGAGGGAGAGAGACAAGACAGACAGACAGACAGAGGAGGGAGAGAGACAAGACAGACAGACAGACAGAGGAGGGAGAGAGACAAGACAGACAGACAGACAGAGGAGGGAGAGAGACAAGACAGACAGACAGAGAGAGAGACAGAGGGAGGGACGGAGAGAGAGAGAGAGAGAGAGGAGGGACGGAGAGAGAGAGAGAGACAGAGGGAGGGACGGAGAGAGAGAGAGAGAGACAGAGGGAGGGACAGAGAGAGAGAGAGAGACAGAGGGAGGGGGAGAGAGAGAGAGAGAGAGAGACAGAGGGAGGGACGGAGAGAGAGAGAGAGACAGAGGGAGGGACAGAGAGAGAGACAGAGGGAGGGAGGGAGAGGATGGAAAGTAAAAACTCGAGAGAGAAAGAGGTGGAAGGACAAAGTAAAAGAAAGAAAAGGACACAGAATAAAAGGAAAAAGAGAGAGAAGAAATTGAAGATTATGCCCCACCAAGTGAGGAAGTGGTGGCGAGAGATAACCATGATGCACCAAATGTGAAGGAAGACTTAATTAACCTTTTTAGTGAGGTGAACTTGTATGCACTAAAAGCTTGCAATTGGAATCTTGATTTTTCTTGAGCAATGCCGTTAACAGAAATTACCAAAATATCTCCGGATCCGTGCATGGCAAGTACTGCATTTTTATCAGTGCATTAGAAAAGTCATTTCATCTCCTGTAAAAACAGATCTTTTGAAAAAAAAAAAAAAAAGAAAAAACTTACTTTGATGCTTCCACAAAGACGCCACTTTGGTCTCCATCTTTCGGTTGGCTGCTCTGTTTAATGGGTGGGGTCAATGAAGTGTCAGGGCAATATTCTACATCTGAAAATAAGCAATCGTCATCATTACAGAATTGAAATATAAAATCCCAAATTGCAGAAAGCAAAAATGCAGAAAAATTGTCTTTCTAGGATGAAGCCTTTTTTTTGGAGGGGGGGATAATACAATACTTTCATGATTATCCGAACACCTTGGGACATTGTTCAAAAAAATATGTTTGGTTTTCAAAATTCTGGATAATTGAATACCTAAACTATTAAAAAATAACAAAAAAAAAAAAAAGCATTTTCCAAAAGACATTTAACATTTATATCATCAGATAACATTTTCAAAGTCTTGCTTCAATTTAGCTCATTTCTGTCTGGCCATGCATTTTTCTGCTATCTGTCCTCCTATATAGCAGTCAGCGCTGGACAATCTTCGTAAAGATGAAGAAGAGATTTGAAGCAACTGAAATCTGGTTCTACAGAAGGATGCTGAGAATACCATGAACCGAACATGCGATCAATGACAAAGTTTTAGAGAAAATGGAAACAAAAAAAAAAGATACATATATTGGGTTGTTCGGAAAGTTTATGCCAATTTTTAAGGGAAATTAAAACACAAAACAAAATTATGGCATCAAATATTTATTCAACTAAATACGAACCATTTTGTTTCACAATTTTTCTCCATTTTTCCTTCAACTTAAAGATTCCATCTTCCTAGAATTTCGGTGGTTTCTCTGCAAAGAATTCATTACAGTGGGTTTTTTTTTTTTTTTTTTTATGTCATCCAAAGAATTCAAATTTTTACCATTGAGATTATTTTGCAAGAACCTGAATAAATGAAAATCTGAAGGAGCAATGTCTGGGGAATATGGCTGATGAGGTAACACATCCCAGTCAAGATGCAATAATTTTTGCCAGGTCGCCAAAGAAACATAAGGGCTGGCACTATCCTGATGGAAAACAACACCTTTCCTGTTTGCCAATTCTGAGTATTTTTCTTGAATTGCTGCCTTTTAATTTGTCCAGTTGCGAGCGTTACTTTTCAGAATCAATTGACTGGTTACTTGGCAGAAGTTCATATTACAGTATTTCTTTCCAATCCGATCAAATACACTCTTAGGATGCAATCTCAGTGTTCCAATAGTTTTTGGTAAAGGTTCAGAAAGTCATATCTGAATTGCGGAGGGGGTGGGGAGAGCAATGAAGGGGGTTGACAGATTTGACTGACACAAAAAATTAAAATAAAAAAGTGAAATGCATAAGATGTGAGGAATCTATTAAGAATGATCACAACAATGGCACTGCTCACCAAGATCACCGTCCCAATGGTACCGCTCACCAAGATCACCTTCCTTGACCAAGTCACCTGTCTGACAAATTGACCATCCTGAGATTCGAACACAGATCTCATGGTCAGAAAGCAGTGTTCTAACCACTCAGCCTCATGCCATATTATATATATATATATATATATATATATATATATATATATATATATATATATATATATATATGAAAATTGCACATGAAATGCTGGTGTTATTGAAACAGTGCTTGATATTATATAACAAAGATATAAAGTTAATATATTATTGAAAATACACTGTGTGCCAAATTATTATCGAGATGACTTTTTCAAATATTTCAAAAACCGTCCAATCAATTCAACACTGACCTGCGCAATCACTAGAATTTTCGTACTGATCTGCGCAATGTAAACAAACTGATGCCATATTTGTTATCAGCACGGTGATTTGAGCGTGCCAAATTATTAGAAAAGTGTAAGAATTTAGTGAAAAGATTGGCCGTAAAAGCAGTTTAACTGATGCTGAAAAGAAAACTATCACCTCAGAACTCTCGAAAGGTAAATCTACCCTAGAAATTTCTAAAATGATAGGAGGTGTCATCAAACAGTGAAAAAGTTCACACCGACCCTACACAAGTACAAAAAAAGGGCAGATAAAAGGCAAGACAAGGGTTATTTCACGTTGTCTCATGTCACAACTTAAACGAGAGGCGATGAAGAACCCTAGACTTACCAGTCAAGAGCTTTTCAGTCGCATTGGGTATCCTACTGTGTCTAAAAGTACTTGGTGTCGGTATCTGAGGAAAATAGCAACAACAGTCAAACCTGTATCGAAGCCTCCGTTGACAAAAAATCACATTCAAAATTGATTGGAATGGGCCGTGGACAATATGAAGATTGACTTCTCTAAAGTTTTGTTCACAGACGAAACTGAAGTAACATTTGATGGGCCAGATATATGGTGCAAAGGTTGGGTAATGAATGGACAGAATCACCATCAGCGTTTGAGATGCCAAGAAGGCAGTGGAGGCATAATGATCTGGGGTGGTATTATTGGAAGCACATTAGTGGGCCCATGGAGAGTACCAGATGGCGTAAAAATGACTGCTGATGTATACATAGCATTTATGAAGGAGCATCTTGAACCGTGGATGAAAAGGCAAAGAGTTGCCTTCAGAAGGGCCATTGTTTTTAATGCAAGATAATGCTCCCCTACATGCTGCTCACAAGACTACCGAATATTTGAAACAGGCTTCGATGGACCTTGAAAAATGAAGTGACCAGCAAATTATCCGGATTTGAACCCAATCAAAAACCTTTGGAGCATCATGAAGCGAAGATTGTACGCCAACGGACGACAATTCAGGAGCAATGCTGAGTTGTGGGATGCAATTCTTGACATATCTCGCGGCATTACAGCAGATGACATCCTACAATTAACAAATTCTATGGATTGTCGACTTCAAGTAATTTCAAAACAGGGAAAGCACATTCCCTATTAATTTGTTTAAAACTGTGCCTTTGTTTGTATCTGTTATTATTTGTTTGATTATCTTATTTATTAGCATCTTTTGATCATAAACATTCATGTGCAACATTAATAAACGTTTTGTTTGCTAAATTCTGGGAATTTTACTAAACCTTTCTAATAATTTGGCACACTCAAATCACTGTGCTGATAGCAAATATGGCGCCAGTTTGTTTACATTGTGCGTATCAGTATGAAAATTCCAGTAATTGCGCAGGTCAGTGTTGCCAACATTGTGTGAAAATCTTGTGTGAATTGATTGGACGGTTTTTGAAATATTAGAAAAAAAGTTATCTTGTTAATAATTTGGCATGCAGTGTATATATATATATATATATATATATATATATATATATTTCATTAATAAATGTACTTATATAAGTGAACATTGAAGTCAACACTCAGAGGCGACAGGCTGTTTCATGCTGGATGCAATTGTCAGGCCGCGAATGCTGGATTTTTCCTCAACTATTTATGTATATAGGTCAGTGGTGCATTGTGGGTAATCTATTCTGGTGGTTATTTTTACAGGAGTGGCTTGTTTGTTCATTTATTTGGGTTAACTTATTTTTCATTTTCATTTTGTATTATTTGTTCTTTTCATTTTTTGATGTTTTATTAACGTAGTAAAAAATTTGGGGGCGGATTTGCTTAGGTCACTTATTTAATAGTTTGTTTTGGCCTGGGAAGATGATTAAAACTATTTATTAGTCCAATGTTTAGATTACTTGCCGTAGTCTATTCTGTTATCTTGGCAGGTGGACAGTTTTTAATTTATTTATTTGGATTGATTATTTTTACTTGTTTTTGCTAATTTCTACTTATTTTTATTACTTCTAATGGTTATTTTAGCGGGGACGATTTGTTAATTTATTTATTTGGATTAATTTTTATTAGTTTTTTTATTTACTTACTTATAGACTCAGCACCTGTGGATTGTGTTTGGCATGAAACTGAGTAGTGCAAACAGTGTGGGATATATATATATATATATATATGCAAGCCTAGTTATTATCAAGAACTGGATGTTGTCAGTATAGTAGCCAAGATTTTGTTGGTTACACCCTGGAATTTCATTGGAAACTTAGAATTCAAACTAACTCAAATCTATACGTATAAGTGAAAGCCTTTGTAAAATGTTTCTTCAAGGCTCGACTCTACTGAAAAAGAATTTATCAAATATTTATACGTATTATTTTATATGCATATTTATATTTATTACACTCTTTAAAATATCCTCACCTGTGGTGAAAGACATTTATTTAATGTGTTACTTCTTTTGTATAAAATGTTGAGTCTGTATAGTATTTCAATATTATTGCTAATATTTGTCTAATGTTGTTTTTTGGTTCTTTGCATGAATTGTACAGGGTGTGGCAAAATGAACTGACACCTTTGTAGGTTTAATAAAAGCAAAATAGAGCCAAGAATGAAAAATGTGTTTTTATTTTCAAAATTTACGTATAATTCTCTTTTGTTTCATTTCATTTTCAAATGCCAACATGAATTGGCTAGGCAAGTATCACGCTTTCATTGTGGAAACATTTATCAAGAACAACGAATCGGTAACTGCAATACATTGGCTTGCCTGATCACCTGATTTGAACTCATGCGATTTTTTTCTGTGGGGATACCTGAAATCAGAAGGTATACACTCATTTCCCTCAATCTATTGAACAAGTAAAAAGATGCCATTTGTCAAGAAATTGCTGCCATTCCACATGAAATGACCCGTTGTGTTATGAACAACTTTCATGAATGCCTTTGACAGTGTGGAAATTAATGACACTTACTCAACTAATTTAATTTTTAAGATGAAATGAAACGAAATGGCATTTTGCCGCACCCTGTATTAATATTAGTTTTACTCATGTTGTCATTTTTTACTTTTGAGTTTTTAAATTTATTTTCCAAATTATTCTATTAATAAATACCAATTCATAGAGGGACCTGTTTATTACTTATTAATGGTATATACTTTTAAGTCTATTAGAAGGTTTTCATAAATGTATCTTTAAATAGATTCCTTTTTGCTAAATAGCATATTAATGTATAGGATTTCTTGAGGGATCAGTTTATTAATGGACTAGCAGCATGGCCCGGCGTCGCCTGTGTTTGATTCAAAACTCGTACGACTCATACAGCAATCGCTATCACTTGACTTAAAATATTTTTGCCCTTCCTTGCCTTTAAAGGAGTGCCCTTTGCCGTGCTGATGTTGCTACATGCCTTACTTCTTGCCTATCTCACACTGCAAATTTTTTCTAAGCTCTATACTAAACATTAAATCTGTTACAAAAAAAGAACTAAACAAAATAAACACAAAACGATCAGCTTTAAAAAAGGACTCGTAACTGGAAAAACTGAATGAAAAAAGAATGTTAACAAATACTTTTTCACACCCAACCCAGTTCTGTGGAATCAGAATCAACGTTGAGTTTAAGCAAGCGAATGAGACAATTGGAGTAAAGTGCCATGCAGATTTAAATTTTCCCACTTGTGACGAATGCAGCTATCGATTTTTTTGCATGCTAGCATGCTAGTTAACATTCGTGTCAGTCAGCTGTTGGCTTTCGTGCTGGCCAATAGAATCTTCCTGCCTATTCGTGGCAGCCAGCTATAGGCTCTCACTCTGGCCAGTAGAAAATGGCCGCAAACTACATGAAAACTGCCGTAAAAGCATGAAAAAATCTATTATTTCCACTATCGATGGGAGTTGGGGAATGCAAAGTCAGTCTTGGTCTTCCCGCTAACTTGGAGCATGTGCATGTAAATTTTGGTGCAAATCCGTGAAAATTATGCTGTGCATTAGTATACACACACACACACACACATACCCTGCCTTTTATAGATAGAGATAACAACAGAAAATGACCCTCCATTTTATGCACAGTGAAATTTTATATCAATACTAATTTACACACACTGTAATTTTTTATGGCAGATTTTGTTAAATCTTTTCTTTGATTAGGTTGCACTTTCATTGTGGAAACGTTTATCAAGAACAATAAATCAGTAACTGTAGCACAAAGTGCATTCTGTATGCCCTTCAGGCTTGATCCCATACCGGGGGGGGGGAGTGAACAGGTTGGTTACATTCAATGCCTCAAAAACCAAACTAGTTACATTCCATCATTGTTGATCAGACCCTGAACTATCACCAGTCATGAGGAGTGGATGTCTGCTCAAGGAGGTGCTACACCTTGAGAGACTATTGGGCCATAAGCTCACCCCCTGACCTAAAGTGGAACTCGTACACGGTTGGTTCCCTGTATTGCTCTTCTCAGTACCTGACTCTTCGAGGTATCCTCTATCTTTATAAGAGCCAGATTATGCCTTAAATGAAGTACTGCTATCATATTTGGGCAAGAGCTGCAAGTCTTCACTTACCAGTATCGATGGAGATCAAAAGCATCTCCAAAGGCCAAAATGCCTTCAAGATGTGTTGCATGCTGTTTCTGCAGAAAAAAAAGCAACAAGAAAAATACCTCTCCACTGAATGGCGTCAGCAAGCTCAGGTAATTGAGCTTTTGCTAACCAATCATGTTTCAAGTGTTACTGAATGCAAGTGATTTTCTAAGCATAGCTTAGGTGTGGCACAAGGCCGAAAATAAAGGGCACCCAGTGTGGATCAAACTCACTATTCAGTTGTAATTGATTGAGCAAGACTAACTTGTTAATTGTTACACCATGTTGAAGTGTCCTGGTGATTTTCTAAGCATTGCATTGATGTGGCACAAGGCCAAAAGTTTGGGGCGCCCAGGTCAGTGAGTGGAATGGATAGCATGGAAAAAATATGCGAATCCATTTCAATGCACTAAGGAGGCACAGTGGAGTAATGGATAGTGGTTTGGATTTAGGAATCAGAGAGGAGTTCAAATTCCAGTCGAATCCATTACATTCACTTACATGCTAATAATGTTGGAAAAGGTATGAATCCGCTTCTTCTCCCCCCAGCTATGGGTAAATAGCAGGACAGACCGGGTTCTATAGTCTTGGATGGCAACTGGTCTATTGCAGAAAGAAATGGCAACCTACTGTGGGGGGAAAAAACTGCCTCATCAGTCATGTATTGAAAGATACATTATCGTCTAAGTGTGTATTATGCATGGCACATAATGAATAGCAAGATGTAAAGGTCCCAACAAACTACTATAAAAGCGGCTTACTTTCCCTGCTTTTTTTGGGGGGGGCTATAGTGTGTGGAGGCTGAATTTGTGTACATGGTGATTTGGACTTTGTGAACTTTTATTATACAATCATTCAGGCCCAGCTGTGACCATCAAGTGTCTCTAGGTGGCATCTTCCCTTGATACAGCCCAGAGGAACAAGAATGTCGATATTGACACACATAGAATTTATCAAGTTTCCCCATATCAAGCAATAAATCTCAACTCAAGGATGAAAAAGACTTTCCCTGAAGAAGCATCTTACTTTGGATTTGTTGGTCAGCACTTGTCAATCTGGTGTCATGGTCACTTGTTTTGTTATTGACTGGCCGGTGCGCTGTGGTCAGCATGTGGTTCTGTAGGTCTTGCTGAATGGGTGGTTGCATTGGCACAGCCGTCATATAGGGTCCAGTCTGGATGAAACTAGGTTGGAGACTGTCTTTTTCATACCACAAAATGTTTGCATCTGGTTCTAGTAAGGTTAGATCTTGTTTTTCAAGACACTGTGATTTGGAACTCTCTCGTACATCTGAAGAAAAGAAAAAAAAAGAAAAAGAGAACCATTTTATAATGTAAAAATACAATTTAGATTTGGTTAATTTCTGTCAAAATTTCTAGGAAAAAAAAGAGTTATTTATACTATTTACATACAAACTATTGTCCTCATCTTTGTTGTTGTTACCACAATGTTTCGGCCATTGTTCCCTCTGGCCTTCATCAGTGTGTACCTGGACTCAATCGAAATAGGGAGTGTAATAACTAAAAAATACTAAATAAGAACTAGACGAGATATCTCTAGACATGGACAGTGGAATGGAAAAATTCTACCCCCATAGATTAAATAAAAGGTTCAGTTCAGAACTCAAGGAAAAATAATGTATTGGACGGTCACCTAATTGGCTTGACTGATAGGGATGTGGATTTTTATTTTGAGTCATTACACTATAATATTAGCTATCTATCTAATTCAGCCTTTTATATGATGTGACTCAGCTGTTACAAGTATTTCCAAGACTATAAACCTTCCTGGAGCCGAGCCACAAGCTTAAACATGCTCTGTTTATTAGCAGTGGCAGGAGGCTTTCTGCTCTTGATGAGTATGCCATTGTCATAAAAACAAAATTGGACGAATGATTAATGTAAAGAATACGTGGAGCCAGTATGTGAGGGATGAATGGTGAATGTGTTGTTGAATGATTTTTTTTTCTTAGAAATTAGGGTGTGTCTTCCAAGCCACAGCATCTTGTAAGCTGGAAAATATGGTATTTATTTGTGTTTGTATAACTAGCCCTGAAGATCAGTTGTCTTATTTTTATTTTGTTTTTCCTTACCTAAAGTTATATTATCAACGTTGCCTTTTCTAGTCTCGTTCGTTTTCATCAATTAATAGTTTAGGTGTTAGTTCTGTTAAAAAGACAGTATAAATAATTCTGTTGCATGTTAAATAATGACTTCATAATATCCGAATATTTTAGGCTTATATCCTGATTTATATTTCCATTTTTGGTTTCTGCCATCTTTTTTTTTAAAATCAACAAAATTTTTGACATTTGTGTTTGTTTATGTACTATTTTGTAATTTGTTTTGCTTTTTAGTGTTTTTCTTATCTAACCTTTTATTATATATTTGAAAAACCATCAAATGTTTTGGAACTTTGAAAACACGTATATATGTAATGTTTATATACGTACATTATATATATTCCAAAGATTGTCATAGCTTTGGGTGATAGTGGGGACAAGCTCTTCCTTTTAATAGAGTTTTTTCCATGGAATACGCCTCAAAGATCTGTTTCTATATATCCGTGAGTCTATAGGCAAATATTTTGGTCAGATTTATACTTTAGTCTACAGGTAAATATTTTATCAGATTTATACTTGAGACTATAGGTAAATATTGGTCAAATTTATACCTGAGTCTATAAGATAATTGGCATTCCGAGTTCAAGGAAAACTGATGCGTTTTTGTTGAAGATTGTAGATTTTGAGTTTAACTGAAAACCACATATATTGCTTAAAAGTAATATATTAATTTAATATAATTTGCAATTATTATTTATTTGATTTCATTTGTTATATATAATTATTATATTTATTTGACGTTATATATGTACTATATATTATTATTTCTTTGAACTTTTTCCATAGTTGTCAGTTATATATTAGTATTTATACACCTTTTTTGTACAACTAACCTGAAAATTGTATTTTTTATTTTGTTTTTGCTTACTTGTATTTATATTTATCAGCGTTTCATTTTCTACACACATTTGTTTTTTATCAATAGTTTAGGCGTTAATTCTATTGTATGTTATATAATGACTTCATAATCTCCAAGTATTTTCGGCTAAATCCAGATTCATATTTTCATTTTTGGATTCTGCTATCTTTTTCTAAAATTAGTCAACTTTTCAATATTTATGTACTATTTTATAATTTGTCTTCCTTTAGTGTTTTTGTTTACCTAATATTAAAAAAAGCCATCAGTTATTTTTGAGTTTCTAAAACATCTAAGGTATACACCCTTGGGTAAATTAATTGAAACAAAAATTATTCTGTTATTTACATTTTTTTTCATATTTTCCCAATGAAACATGACCCAGTGCATGTTAGTACTTCATATGTCCGTTCAACAAAGTCGTTCATTCCAGATTGACCACAGATTCTTGATTGGATTTAAATCAGGAGAGTTTCCAGACCAATCTATAGTACTTTGATTTGTTCACTTGTAAGGCTTGCCAGTGTGTTCGTACAATGTTATAATTTTCATGCACTCCCTTGGAGTAATGTCCATTGCAGACAATGACCATAGGACAACTAATCAACAGTCAAAACAACAGTGTCTGGGCATGATGAAAATCTGATGCAATCACAGATGACGCAGTATTTTTCAAGGCCAAACAAATTTCGTCATATACTCCAAAAATAGATTCGTATTACTGCACACATTTCCAAATGATCTAATCTGAGGAAAAAATAGAAATCTATTACACCCTGTCACTCCAGTGGGTCTAAAACTGACCATGTGGTGAAAGAAAGGAAACTAAAGTGGTTGTTTCAATTAATTTGCACAAGGGTGCATAATGTTAATATATGTACATTACATATGTTCCAAAGGCTGTCATAGCCAAAGGTGATAGCAGGGAGAAGCTCTCACTGTCTATAAAAATGCTTCTGTGTCATGCGTCTCAAATAGCCTCTGACAACAAAGTTCAGCTCCAAGCCAGAGAATTGGCGAAGACGGAAAACCTGGTGCCTCATGACCTGCTGCTTTTGGTAGATGGAAGTCAACAGCACAGGCAGTCTGTCCATGTAGAGGAAGGAAAACCCTGATTTTAAACCTCTGCTGTCTTGTGATCATATTCAAACAGGGCAGCTAAGCAAGTAAGAGGAAGGGAGTTCCACTGCTGAGAAGTGCGAGAAAAGAAACTACTGAAGTAGAAGTGGAGGTTACATTTAATTATTTCAACAGTAAAAGGGTGGGACTTAAATGCCTGAAAGAATCAGTGTCTACACTAGATTATAAGGATCTCCTGAGTAGGCCTGGCATAGAAATAAATACAATTAATAAAGAAAGTGGCATGACAACAACAGCAGCAGTAAAAAAAGAAATGCCTTGGTGAATGCAGTCAAGTGTGATTAGCAGCAGCTGTCTCAGTAGCAGGCAGATTGGGGGTCAAGGCTCCAAGTTCTAGAGTAAGGTTTGACCGATGGGACAATTGTCTAGTGAAATTATGTAGCAACTGCAAGTTCAGTCCCTGCGCAGTGCAGTGGCAAATTTGAACAGTGAAAACAGGATGAGCAATAAATAACTAGTTGAGATATACCTAGACATGGTCAGCAGAACATGAACTATGTACTCCCATATATTAAACAAATGGTTCAGTTTGTAATTCCCTGAAGATTATCCTGGAAAATGACTGAAACATTGTGAAAGAAAAAAAAAAAAAAGTCAAAATTGTCTGCATATAAATAGTGAATACATTTTTGAATAGAAATAACGTTTAACAAAATTCTTTCCTTTCCCGGGATGTTGGTTGGTTGATTTTGTTTAGCGGCATATCAACATCTCTATGGGTCATTTAATGCTGAAATCTAAATAATCTGAACAATTTTATGGCTTCAACTAAATATATTTTGAAGGCAACTGTCTAACTTCAACTACAGATAAAATGTATTGCTGGTCATATACAGGGTGTTTCAAAAAATTTGATATCATTTCGCAATCTAATAACTTTGTTAGATCTCCTTCAAATGACTTCAAATTTTAATAACATCTTTATGTTTAATGTTTGTTTTATGTTTTTATGTCTTTATGTTTTTGTGTTTTTCTTATTTGTATTTTTTGGTTCTTTAATCTTTTTCTTTACAGGTATAAAAATGCTATTTACTAGAAGAGAAAAGGCGTTTTGTATGTTCACATAATCCACATGCTTTTGAATTTCTCATTCAGATTTGGAAGAATAAATCTTATGATCTTCAACATTAATACTTTTTAATTTCATTTGCCTTAATCATGTACTTTCTGTGATATTTACATCTCAAAGGATATCAAATTTTTTGAAACACCCTGTATTGTTGGTCTTTGCTTTTTATACAAAAATTTATCACTGGTATTTTTACTATTAAAATATACTTCTATACTTTCATAGTGTTTTTGCTGGAGAGGGGATCACTATTTGCCCATAGTTAGGACACTAACAGGTGCTACCACCCAGGGTTAGAGTGAACCCAAGAACATCAGCAATTAAGAGGTGGTTCCATGGTCCTCAAAACCTTATGATCAGAGGCCTTGCTCTATTCTCAGGAAAAAAAATAAAGAAAACCTTTTCGTTATCCAATGGTCAAGACCAACCAATGTCTGGGTAAATATAGGAAGCTGTAAAACTGAGAAGGATAAATATCAAAGTATTATCAAAACATGTTTACAGAATCACATGACCAACTGAGGACATGTTTCCAAGTACTGATGTAGATTTGGTCAGTGAACACAATACAGCCAATAAAAACTAACTCAAGTATTTGTACCATTGATTGCTTTTTGGGGGTAACCAGCATGATAAACCATTGTTCAGTTTGGTCAGACAACTAGAAAGGTTGAGGGAAGAAAGTTCAATTGAACATACCTTTAATTCTGTGGACTCTTTCAGAATTCTGAAGAGCATGGTTTCTTTTCAAATTTTCTTCTCTTACACTGGAAATTCAAACAGAATGACTAGATTAAAAAGAATTTTAAGAATTAATGTAAATTACAAATAGTAAATCTCACACACACACATATATATATAAGGGAGAGATTAAAGTTGTTTCAACAAGAGAAATATTTTCTGACCAATCCAAATTATTTTATTACCCTTTAAGCTGAAGAACATTTTTTTTCAGCAGTCCAAGAAGAATTTGGATAAATAGCACACATAAGACAATGGTTAAACATAGGAAAACAAAAAAAAATCTATTCCTTTAAATAATATGTGGAAATAACCATTATTCACCTGATGACGGTTACAAAACCTGGAATGTGTAGCAAAAAATATGGAAAATAAACTATAATATATATTTGAAAAAAAAATAATAAATAAAAAAACATATTATAACCAAAACCTTGCAGCTTCTCTTTTCCTTTTAAAATTATATATATATATATATATATATATATAAAATTTAAGGTATGCTATATTTATAGGTTATAGTGTTCAATATATGGATAGACCATATGTAAATATAAAAGTGGACATTGCAGTCAACACTCAGTGGTGACAGTCTGTTTTATGTTTAAATACAATCTTCAGGCAATGTGTGTTTTGTTTTGGCTCAACTATCTATATATGCTGGTTAATGGTGCATTATGGGTAGCAAGGTCTATTTTATTATCCTCATAGTTATTGGGTGGGTGGTAACAGTTAGGTTTCAAATTATACTAGACACTATTGAGTAGAAATAATTGTGGATCCAAATGCAGTTTTATAGTGGCCTGAAGATTGCATTCAGGCATGAAACAGACTCACCGCTGAGTGTTGATTTCAATGGTGAAACGTTTCTTGGTATTACCAAGAAGCCTGTTTCAGTTTTGGGAAATGGTTGCAACCAAGAACATTTCGCTATTCACTCATATAAGTTGTTAATTGTGAAGTAATTTTCCAAAAGCTATGAAATCTTTATTTTTCAGTTTTTGAGATGAGGGATTATTACTATACATAGATCGATTTGAAATGTAGTTCTCATTTAGTTTGTTATAGTCACAACGTTTTGGCTATTTTCAAGATAAGGAATTATCATTGTTATAAACTGATTTATTCAATCTGTTATCCTCATCTTGGTTGTTATAGTCACAAAGTTTCAGCTATTTCTGAGATTAGGAATTATCATCATTATACACTGATTTATTTGATCTGTTGTCCACTACATTCTTAATCTGTTCAAATCAAGGTTTTACTGTTATTTTTCCCACATAGCCTAATAAACTTTACTTTTTGCATACAGTCAACATTAGTAAACAAAGACAACACAGAAAACAAACAAAATACACACGACACACAAAAGTCACATGACATAAAACAAGACAAAACCACATCTGTTGCCTAAAGTCTCTTTTCCATCTGTGAGGTAATTATTCAGCATTCCCTGTCATATACGAGGAATGATATTACATGGCAGTTCAAAACTCGTTTCTAACAAATATTTTAAGAATTCATTTAACCTATTGAAGACGTTCTTTGATATTCCAAAATGCTTTTTCTTTTGTCTGTTACAACACCCTATCCCCAGATAGTTCAATTTCTTTAGTTGCTTGATTTCAATATCTCGGAATTCATAGCTCACACCTTGAGCCATTCTTTTTGCTGTTGCTTATACATTCCATCATTTTTATAGTTGATAGTCCTTTCTTACTGCTTTCCTTTATGACCTTCTCTAAGTGTCTGCCATCAAAAGACACAATGTCTATTTTGTGTCCAATGATGAATAATCCTTGTAGGACTTCTAGTTCCCTGTTACTTTGCTGTAATTGTCAAATAAATCAGGCAAGAACACAGGCCCTGGTTTGGTTCTGTCTTTGTGTCAAGCTGGTAATAACCCACCACAAATCCTTCAACCAACAAACGGCTTGTATTTTTCTTCATTCCAAATAATCATTAGAGATAACTGTCTGACAAAATGGTAAAAATTCCATATCATCAGGCTAAAGTGATGTTCTTATATATGTAGAGCAATGATTCCCACTGTGGGGTGCATACCCAACCAGTGGGGTATGCGTAGGATGTGCACCCTTCTTTCTGATCTAAAACAAATTGATTTTCCAACATTGGTGATGAAGACAATCCTAGTGGATATTTCTGATGTTTCAATGCAGTACCAAGAAGAACTCTTGGAGATGTAAAATGATGAATCTGTTAAAACTTTATTCAATATAAAAGAAATGATGGCATGGCTTTGCGATGAAACAGTAACTAAATACCCAAATTCAATACCATTGCAAGAAATTTGTCTTCCTATTTAGCTGAATGTGGCTTTAGTGCTGTAAATGATTTGTTATTGAAGGAAAGAAATCGACTGGATATCACTAAACGAAGAGACTTAAGGCTTAAGCTCACTAAATTGATGACTAATATAAAATCTATCTATAGCAGACATGACGCACAAGGATCTCACTAACAGTCATTTTGTGATGAGCTCAAATTTCATTTTGCATTATTATTTCATGATTAAAATAATCAAAGTATATTACAGAATAAGCTTTCATTCAAATATTTTATATTTCTGCCTTTCAATTCTCTATTATATGGTTTGAAATTATATATATTTAACTATATTTTTGTTTTTTTAATTTGTCTCTTTAATGGACGCCATGGTGTTTGAAGGCTTGTTTAGAGACCAGGTTAATGGTCTTTTAAGCTTCCTTCATGTGAATTGCAGTAAAATTTTGAATATGTAAGAATTAAATATTAAAGGAGGGCACCAGAATTTTAGAAATAGCAAAGTGGGGCTTGGCCCAAAATCAGTTGGGGACCACTGATGTAGATTGAAGGGGGGGATATCAATGTGAATAACAGAACTGGGCACCAAGTGGAAACACTGAAGATGTAGAGATGCTAAGTTTAAAATTTTGAATGATCGAGCATCTTATGTGTCGAGATGCTCAGCTCAGCAGATTTCACCAGATTTCCCAATGATTTTGTCTTTATTGCTCTCATTTTTAAAGTGGTCACCCCTTCTAGGCACTGACCAGGCTCGACATTGCTTAACTCCAGTGATTGTGCAACAACTAGTGTTTCAACATGATACAGTCATAAACCCTTTACACCAACTGCACATCCAAGCTTACCGCACCTGGTATTCCCAAGCGGTCACCCATCTAGGTACTGACCAGGCTCAATGTTGCTTAACATTGATAATCATACAAGAACTGGTGTTTCAACATGATATGGCCATAAGCCATACCATCCACGCATCCAAGCTTACAGAATTTGGTATTTCAAAGTGGTCACCCATTTAGGTACTAATCGAGTTTTGACATTGCTTAACTTCAAGAACTGGGGTTTAGTGATATGGCCATAAGCCTATAACTGATTATGTGAGTACCTCCAAAAATTTGAATGACTTGAACCTGAAAGCTGATCTTCACTCTGACGTATCTGTTAACAGTTCAATGAGGGCAGTCTTGTAACATTTCATCATTACTAAGCAAACTCTAAATTTTCACAATTTTATATATATATATATGTGTGTGTGTGAAAAGTGTGTGTATATAAATATATATATATATATATATATAATTATTTATATATTATATGCGCGGTACTTATTAGAAAGCACTCAATATCAGAGATAGAGCTAAACTCACATCAATCCAACCAAATATATATATATATATATATATATATATATATGCATGTTTCATTAAAAACGACAGACAAGGTACTATAGTTAAGCTTTTTATTTAACTTTTCTTGTGTTTGAACAAGAGCTTTCTTTTTTAGACAGAGTGTGTAGAATCTGTCCAAATATTTGAATAAAATAACTGAATAAAAACAAATAAAATTATCCACTATAAAAAATTTAAGACAGCTAACCTTATCCTCAAAAGCGACAAAACACCAGCTAACTCAAAATTACAATGAACAAACATTATGAAATCAAATGCCCCTTAAGGAACTGTGTTCCTGATCAAACCAAATTCATAAATAATTACATCGGTTACACAACTACATGCCTATTCATACACCTTACGTTACACCTATCTGACTCTATTAGAACCCATTTAAACACATACAAAAACTTACCAGACTCCATTTGAAACATACTAGTAGAAAACACTGACTTAATAACTCCATCCACCTGTAAAAATATATTAAAAATAATGGAAGCCCTAATAATAAAAACAGAAAAAGCCAACTCTTAACAATATTAACTACAAACTAGGCCACAATGTGCTAACCGTGTCCGAAAAATAAAACATCTCTATAACACACTAAAAACATACACATATCGCACACACCCAATTATATATATGCACATTTCATTGAATACGACAGACAAGGTGCTTTGATTTAGTTTTTTTATACAATTTCTCATGCGATCTAATAATTTTTTTCCTTTTCAGATGATAAATTATATAAAACCTGTCTGAATGTTCTTTTTTCTGAGCACTTTTGGCTATACAATTTATCAACCCTTTGTGGCTTATTTAAAGTCAGAACAAATATCAATTTCTTGGAGGCTGCTGACAGTATGCAGTGTTCCCAAGTGGTCCCCATCTAAGTCCTGAACAGGCTCAATGTTGCTTAAACTTTGACAAGCTAGTGCTTTAAAGTGTCCTAAAGTCAAAAGAAAAGGAGAAGAAACTTTTCAGCAAACACTGTAGAAAACAAGGATTTTTGTCAAGAATTCTTGAGGATGGACAAAAAAAAAAAAGCAAACTTATCAGTCCTGATGGGCGTTCATTTTTTGTTGCTAGGAGAAAATTCAAAATATCTTTATCTTCAGAACAAGATAGACAGTGAAAAAAAAAAAAAAAACACAGTAAAAAAGGGAGTTATTCTTACATCTTCAAATAATTTGGCACAACATCTGTTACGTTTGCTTCACTGGGAGGCTTTGGCCTGCGGTGACCATTGGCCAATGTACTAATTTGTTCACTGCTGACAGTGAATGAAGAAATATTTAGAGCATCCTTTTTGGGGCTGCTTGTCTGGGGGTGGGGATGCACTTGATTTGGATCAGCAGACATACATCGCACGGGTTCTTTGACAGGGAATGAGGGTGGAGGAATTGGTGCTTCCTCAGATGTCACAGACTCTGGACTATGTTCCATTACTTCACTAAAGGCCTGGAAAACAAACAGATTTTTAAGTTAGTGATATGCAGAGAAAGCATATGGCTCTCTAAATGGCAACACTAATTTTGTCATCTTTATGAAGAATAGCCGAGAAGAATGAACGAACAAAGATAATAATTCTAGCTTTGACAAATGACAATCCCTTTCTTCCTCATTTTCAATGCATTTTTATAGTAAAATCATGAGAAATGCATTTACATGATACATATAATAGCCCTATTCTATCAGTAATGCTTGCATTCATTCCTGACCACTGACAATCCCTTTCTTCCTGATTTTCAATAGATTTTTATAGTAAAATCATTAGCAATACATTTCCATTATACATATAATAGCCCTATTCTATCAGTAATGCTTGCATTCATTCCTGACCACTGACAATCCCTTTCCTCCTGATTTTCAATGCATTTTTATAGTAAAATCAAAACATATAATAGCCCTATTCTATTTTACTTGCATGTCAGTTGACCAGTGATCCCTTTTCCTGAAACATTTTTCTGTAAAATCTTCATAGGTGTTCAGTGATTCCCAAAAGTATTCTGGAATGCTGCGAAAGAGGAATGCAGGTAAGGTGGAATGTTTGAAAGACAGTCAAAGATTTAGAAACAGTTTCAAATAATTTTTTTTCCTTTAAATACCTTTTTTTTTGTCTATTTTAAATATTAATTATTTTGGGTTAATATACTATGTGGCCTGATAAAATTGTGAATATTTTTAATGTAGCCCTTGCACCAAAAAGTTTGCCCACCCCTGATTTAAGCAATGGTAATAAATCCAGATTGGCTTGGCTTTTAAATTATTGAAAATTACAAGCCAGGTTTTTTTTTTGTCTTTTTCTTTAAGTGTGTCTACAATAAACTGTTGTCTCATCTGCATCAATGTTTACGGTAACTTAAGAATGTCTCTAGGGAGTTCATTTCAGTTACATCTGTAATTTTGAGATGAATTATTGTAAGAGTCATTATTCTGGACTAGTATCGTAATCCTTGCTTCTTTTTCTACCATCTCAGCTGAGACAATTTTCTTTCAGCTTTCCTTATTCTCTGAAATTCTTTTGACTAATATCCTCATCTTAGAAACTGTTTTCCTTAGCTTTTCTAGGGTTGTCGGAAATAAGACTTCTCCACAACCGCAAAACTGCCTAAACAATTTTGAATACTGGAAAGAGAAGATTGAGCAGCTCCAGACTTCTTTTTTGGTTGACTGACTCTCATAAAGATGGGGCATGACAGAAAGAGCCTCAAACTAAACAAAAATAAAACAAACTTTTCGGTCAAACCAATACTTACCAATTCACTGATATCTTTACTGAAATATAAGCAGTTAATTAAACAATTTTTTTTTTACCTGAGAATCAACATTTGTTGAACCACCCAATATAGAAATGGCTTCATTCCAGTGTAGCTGCATTATATTTTGAAATTTATTCAACGCTTCAGTTCTGTAGAAATAAAAAAAATAAAAAATATAAAAGCTACTATTTAAATAATACCATATTGCAAAAACCTAAGAAACGGATCTCAAAAATAATCTACAATCTGTTGTTAACTGGGGCAAGGAATGGCTTGTTAATTTTAACACCTCCAAAATGAAACTGCTCTATATTAATAGTCTGAGAGAACCGTTTTTGCCTTCTATCAGCATGGCTGATGCGCAACCTCCAGAAGAGTGACTCGTTGCACCTTCTTGGGTTAACTTTTTCCACTGACATGAAGTGGAAAGATTACATTGAATCAATTATTAGCTCAGCTGCTAGGAGAATTAGTTCATTGTCATATTAGGCAATTTTACTTTCCCGAATCTATTCATAAGTCTATCATTCGTTCTTACTTTGAATATTGCTGCCACATCTGGTTTGATGCTACAGCTATATATTTAGAGATTCTTGATAAAATCCAAAGAGGAATCTGCAATGTTTCTCTCCAGAATCTATCTTACATATTTATAAGTCTACCATTCATCCATGCTTTGAATATTGCTGCCACATATGGTCCGGTGCTCTTGCTATATATTTAGAGATTCTTGATAAAATCCAAAGAGGAATCTGTAATGTTATTGGTCCTGACCTGGCATCTCAGTTTAAGTCCCTTTCCCACCACCGTAACATAACTTCCCTGTGCCTTTTCTATTTATCGTGCTTAAACTTTATGAATTTAAGCATACTACTAGATTAGCAGCAAGGTCTCATGATTTTACATTTGAAATGGCTTTATGTAACCATATGTTCCATGACAACAGTTTCTTCTCTCGCACTTCTCGCCTGTAGAACTCTTTCACACTTCTTACTTTCAAATCAACTTTGATCTTCAAAAATTTCAGTGGCATTATCACGTGCTTGGAGTGAATTGATTAATTAATATATATATTATTGATACAAGTAAATGCTTTCTCACTTAACAATTGATGTTGCCTTCAGTATCCAGATTTCAGAGTTTCATAGATGGACCAGTTCTGTTCACTTGTTAGGTAATATCAGCAATTATCTATTTACATATCTATATGTGCAAAAAATTATCAGAATTAATCTGTGGAAAAAGACTATATATATTCTTCTCTATTTGTCAATGGCAAAAAGAGATTCCTGGTGGCCCACAAAACTTTGCAACCCTTTTCTGCACAAACTCATTTTTTTGTTCCCTATATATATATATATATATATATATATATATTACCTGATGTAATATAGCAGAGCTATTAAGTATATATTACTAAACTAGCAGTAGAGCCCGGCGTTGCCTGGGGATGTAACAGTAAGAGATAGATCAAGTATCGACCATTATAAAGACTGAAAAATAAAATTGACAAAGATTATTGTTTAGGGTTGAAGGACACGCATGTCTTAATTAGTTTTTTTTGGTTTGTTTTGTTTTTTGTTTTTTTTATGAATTGGTCAAACCCAAACTCAAACATTGTTTTCAATCGTTTTGAGTCTACCGATTGAATAGAATTTTATTATAAACAATTGTCTTGTAAATGGAATTTTTAAAGCATTCTGAATGTAAAAATAAAGAAAAAAGTGTGCAAGACAATAAGAAACACTACCTGTCAAAAAAAAGTGAAGTTTTGTTGAAATCATTTGAAAAATGTAGGAAATCCGATCCCATATATAAATGAACACACACACACACACAACCTGGGTTTTATAAGTATAAATCGATATGAGTTGTCCCCCTTTCATTCTCGCAATGCCTCTTAATTGTGTTTTCAAATTGATTTCGTGCAAAAACAATTATATTTTTCCCATTTTTGGCGCTGTTAGAACCACCGCAAGGTAATTTTATGTAGTCCTGTGAAGTTTTGTTGAAATCGGTTGAAAAATGTAGGAAATAAGATCCAATATATAAACGTACAGACACACACAACCTGGGTTTTATAATAAGTATGATGTACATATCATCCCTGACCAGTAGCACGACTCAGTTTCATGCACAATGCAATCTTCAGGTGCTGGGTAGAAACTGACAATTACATAACTTAAATTTTAATAAAAATATCTTGTTAATGCAGTGTTGGTACAGACCATATATTATATGGGGATTTTTTTTTTTTTTATTTAAAAAAATATGTTGCATTTAAAATACACAGTATTTTTATTATATATATATATATATATATATATATATATGAAGAAATATAGTTTTTAGGTATGCTGTATTTACGGGATAAAGTGCTCAATATCAGAGATAGAGTATATGTAAATATAAAAGTGAACATTGAAGTCAACACTCAGTGGCGACAGGCTGTTTCATACTAGACACAATTGTCAGTTTATTTTTATATATATATATATATATATATATATATATATATATATATATACTCTCCCGCGTTCGGCGTATGAGGGTCAGGGCCGATAAGTCCCCAGGAAACCGACATCCCGACACGGCACATGAGATTTGTTTATAGTGGTGAAAGGCCTCGTGCAGGACCAGCCACACTTTTTGAGGGACGAATACAGAAACCTGGTGCACCGAATGCATGCCACAAGGTTCCCCAAACGACCCTCCGCAGGTTTTTAATTCAGAGTTGTCCTTCTCCTAGACCAGTTGCCATCAAGGCTATAGAACCCAGTCTGTCCTGCTATTTTACCCATAGCTGGAGGGAGATGAAGAGGATACATACCTTTCCCAAGGGTATTAGCAAGTAAGTGAATGTAATGGATTCGACTGGAATTTGAACTCGGCTCTGCGATTCCTCAATCCAAGCCGCTATCCACTGCTCCTGTTTAGTTTTTTATATATATATATATATATATATATATATATATATAGATAATATTAGTGGAAAATATACATACATATGAAAAGTGTGTGTATATGAATATAGATGAATATGTGTATGTGTGGATATGTGAATATGTTTTTAGGTTTTTTATATATATATATATATATATATATATATATATATATGTATATGTATGTGTATATGTATATATATATATATATATATATATATATATATATATATGTATATATATATGTGTGTATATGTGTGTGTATGTACATGTATGTCTGGGTGTGTGTGTGTGTACATGCCTAAGTCTATGTACCTACTTGTATATGTTTTTTTTTTTTTTTTTTTGTGTGTATTAGTATGTGTTTTTGAACATAGAAATATTTGGTCCTTGAAACGAAATGAGACAATCGTTATATTCATCTTCATATATTTATATTTGATTTTAAATTTTAAGTAAACACAATTTTATTTTCCTTCGTCCCATCCCTCTCCCTCTCTTTTTTTTTTTTTCCCCCCCTTCCTATCCGAATTGTCTGTGGTGTGTATATGTCACCACGAAATGTATCTTTATGTATTAGACATCCGTCGACTTTTCTTTCTCTCCTCTTTTTAAATCCACCCCACCCACATGGAAAAAAATTCTCTCTGTCACTCATCCTCATACTTACACTTTCTCTAAATTCTGTTTTGATTTCGGAGTTGTTTTTTCTGTTTTCATTTTTGAATTTGTAGGTCTGATGATTTGGATCGTATTTTCGATTCCAATGGAATAAATTATGACCATGGAATATTAGTGTTTAAACATTTTATATTATATATATATATATATATATATATATATATATATATATATATATATTATAAACTAAAAGGGATAAATATTCTATATTAAGCATAAAGGGGATTACTGGGTTTTTTTTTTTTTTAATTTAAAATTGTTTTTCTTTTTTAAATTTTTGTTAAAAAAAAAATTATATAAAAATAAATGGACTGAGAACATAAAAAAACAAAATAAAAACTAAAAAGTGGGCGATCATAATTTACACTAAAGATTAGCCTGGATCAATGTATTTTTAACAAATAATCATTTTTACATAAATAAAAACTAATTCATTTTCTTTTGTTTAATCATTCATTATACACAGAAATTGCAGTCACAAAGAAAAAAAATCATTTCAGAAGAAAAAAAAATAATTATTCTTTCTTTTTTAATTCCTATAAGAATTCAAGAATTTCATTCACCTCTGAGATTCGAGCCGTTGGTTTAAAATTTTCAAACTTGTATTTTCATCCCTCAATGATTTTATTCTGAAAGAAAAAAAATTATATCCATTTATAGAGGAAGAGTGCTTAATATTGGGTAGGAAGTTGTGGAGAGCCATGATCGCCCATGTGTTGTGAGGAAACTGCACATAGAAGAGGGAGAATTAAACGCTACATTTTTTTTAATGAAGTTTGTTGTTCATCTTTTTTTGCTTATTTAACGGCATATCAACTAATTAATCAACATTTAATGCTGAAATTTAATTTTCTTGGGAGCTTTGAAGTAATAAAAATATGATATATGTTATTCCGCTTTCACAATTGAATACATGGTAGATGATACTCAGATTTTGTGCATATATATGTTTGAGTGGACATAATTACTAGAGGGGGTAATATGTGTGTTTTATGTTGTTGTTATGTAGTTATATTTCAGAATACAGTTTGTTTTGGTTTGTTTTGTTTTACAGCATATCGACCTCAATGTGTTATTTAATGCTGACAAAATTTTCATTGTTGGCAATATTTTTTCCAAAAATCTATTTCTGGTAATAATTTTTCATTGCTGGTAATATTTGCTTTTCAAAAATGTATAGCTGGCAATATTTTTTTTAAAAAAAAAATAGAAAAATAAAAAATAAAAAAATGTATTGCTGGTAATAATTTTTTTTACAAAGAATTTCTGATATTAAAACCTATTCTATACACTTTCATAGTGTTTTAATCCCAGTTTGGGGGGTTAACTATTTGCCCATAGCTGGGACCCTAACAGGTGCTACCACCCTGGGTCAGGGTGGACCTGAGAACACCAGCAATTAAGAGGCGGTTCTATGCTCCTCAGAACCTCCCAACCAGAAGACCCACTGCTGGATGTAATCCATCGTCCCACCCAGGACACAGATGTAGTTTATCGTCATACTCAGGACAGAATACAGTTTGATTTAAGAAACTATAAGACATATGGATTAAGGTCATGAAAGAGTTTTTTTTAATATTGATTGATGTATTGTTGGTCATCTTCCGATAAATAGGTATTGCTAGTAAATTTTTTTTATGTAAAAATGTATTGCTGGTTTTTTTATACTTTCATAGTGTTCACTATTTACCCAAATCTGGGACCCTAACAGGTGCTACCACTCCAGGTCAGGGTGGACCTAGGAACAACAGCAATTAATGAAATCACAGGCAGCACAATAATTGAAAGTTTCTTTCTCTTTGACTTTGGGAGCAGTAACATATTTTTCCATTTTGCTCAGACAGCGACGAGGCATGTAATATCCAGAAACGTCAACTGAAGATTATATTGAACTGTCACTAATTTCAACTTTGTTTCTTTTTTTTATCCTTCTATAACAAGACTGGAAATTGTGGAGAGCCATGATCACAAAACGCCCTGAAGGGAGACAGCACATAGGAGAAGAATAAGCTTGAGTAAATGGATGATGGAACAAGTTTTAGTAGAGGTCACAAAAAGGCAAAATTTATGACGATCCGGAAATTGTGGAGAGCCATAATCGCCGACGTCCTGAAAGGATGCAGCACATAGAAGAAGAATGAGCTTGAGTAAATGGATGACGGACCAAGGTTTAGGAGAGATAAGTAAAAGACAAAATTTATTAAGAGCTACAAAGGACAGGAAATTGTGAAGAGACATGATCACCAACGTCCTGAAGGGACATGGCACATAGAAGAAGGATGAGCTTAAGTGAATCAATGGCAGAACAAGGTTTAGGAGAGATAACAAAAAGGCAAAATTTATTAAGAGCTATAAAGGATAGGAAATTGTGGAGAGCCATGATCACCTACGTCCTGAAGGGACAAGGCACATAGAAGAAGAAGAATGAGCTTGTATAAATGGATGGAGGAACAAGGTTTAGGAGAAACAACATAAGACAAAATATATTAAGATCTACAAAGAACAGGAAATTGTGGAGAGCCATGATCGCCTATGTTCTGAAGGAACACAGCACATAGAAGAAGAAGAATGAGCTTGAGTAAATGGATGGTGGAACAAGATTTAGGAGAGATAACAAAAAGACAACATTTCTTAAGAGCTACAAAGGACAAGAAATTGTGGAGGGCCATGATCGGCAACGACCCAAAGGGACACGGCAAATAGAAGAACTGTCGTTTGTTTAAATTCCATACTTTGTGTCCTTTTTTTATGTGCCAAATATTATTTATAGTACAAATACTAGGAGTCATAAAAATTTCAATTCTTTCCGTTCTGCAATATACTATTTCAAGGGAGGGAACTCCTTCACTAACACATTAAATAACTATTTCGATTTTCATTCTAATATTTATAAACAGATAAAATAAAAGTTCTGATTTTAAAATTTTTTTTTTTTTAAATCAATAATAATAATTTCAGCTTAAATAGACATAAATAAAATTAAATGAAACCTGCTATGTGCTGAGGCCTGGAATAAGTATATAAACGATGCATTCATTACCCCACAATCCTACCACTTAAACATGGGCTGAAGTTAAATTGGAAATACAAATATAAAAAAAATTTAAATATAACAAAATTTATTAATTATTTAAATTTCTTTCTTTCAAATAATAATGTACTAAATTCATTTTAAAGAGCAAAAAATGAAATTATTGAAATCATAATCGATGTGATGACAGATTTTAAACTTTAAATTGACATGGTTGCTTCCCTGAACATGACAATTCTATTTCTGTGGCCTTTATGCAAGTGGGGGATGCTTATTTCAAACAACCCTAAGGAAGCTTAAGAAAAACAATTTCTGAAAATGTAGACTTAAAACAAAAGATGAGGATATTAGTCAAAAGTGTTAGCATTTGAAATGCTGGAAGAAGGGGGCACAACTCACGTCTGTTCCAGATTTTGTAGATGTGCAAAAAATTTCTGGTCCTTGTGTTTCAGATCTCCCTGATATTTTTGAAGGAGGGCATTTAACTCGACCGAGTGATGTTCATTCAAGCTGATGATCTGCTGTTTGTGTTCCTCTTGCAGACGATTCTCAAAAGATTCCCGCTTCTTGTGGACATCTTCGATAATGGCAGTAATCTGGAAAGGCAGAGAAAACAAGGAAGAAAAAATAAAATTATTATGTTTCTACAGTAAGTTCAAAAGTAAGAAGCTGCTTGGCAGAGGGTAATGGTTAACAAGTCTAGTTGACCATTACTACTGCATAATGAGTTTGATCCTCTCTGGGTGACCCATACAAAACTCATTATCATCAGTCCCACAAGCCTGTGTGGTCATAGGGTTACTATGCAACTGTATGATTGACCAGGTCCCTCCACCTATCTGGGTTCAAAACCAGAAAAGTATTCCTTCATGTGTATTATGCCTTAGATAAGTAGACCTGATAAAACCCATTCCTCTCCAGATCAAACCACAGTCAATGTTCTCCTAACTGAAGGCTGTATATTGAGACACTAACTGTAATATCTTTCTATATGCATTCTTTCCGTTCTGCAATATACTATTTCAAGGGAGGGAACTCCTTCACTAACACATTAAATAACTATTTCGATTTTCATTCTAATATTTATAAACAGACAAAATAAAAGTCCTGAATTTCTTAATTTTTTTTTTTTTTTATCAATAATAGCAATTTCATTAATTTCAGATAAATGTTTTTATTATATAAAAGCTTATGTGTTTTTGTCTGTCTGTGTCAGTTTTTTATCAATGGCTATGCATAAATAAAATTAAATGAAACCTGCTGTGTGCTGAGGCCGGGAATAAGTATATAAATGATGCATTCATTACCCCACAATCCTACCACTTAAACATTAATATGTATAAATGTATACATGTATAAACATGTATAGCAAAGCAATCGAAAATACCTATATGTATACTTTTGTGCAAATTAATTGAAACAATTGCTTTAGTTTCCTTTCTTTCACCATTTGGTCAGTTTTAGACCCACTGGAGGAACAGGGTGTAATCAATTTCTATTTTTTCCCTCAGATTAGGTCATTTGCAGTGGTGTATAGTAATATGAATCTATTTTCGGGATGTATGATGAAATTTGTTTGGCCTTGAAAAATATTGTGTCATACATGCTTGATTTAAATCCAATCAAGAATCTGTGGTCAATCTGCAAGGAACAACTTTGTGGAATGGACATACGAACACACAGGCAAACTGAAGGGTGATAAATATGGCAACAAAGATGAGGACAATAGTCCAAATCATGTAAATAGTGTACATAATACCTCATCTCAGAAATATAGACAGATACTGAAGGGTGATAAATATGGCTACAAAGATGAGGACAATAGTCCGAATAATGTAAATAGTGTACATAATACCTCATTTCAGAAATATAGACAGATACTGAAGGGTGATAAATATGTCGACAAAGATGAGGACAATAGTCCAAATAATGTAAATAGTGTACATAATACCTCATCTCAGAAATATAGACAGATGCATCTGTCTATAAAATTGGTGAGGGAATATTTTTAGCAGTCATTCAAACCAATAAATACTAGGCTACCTAAGGTTAGAAATACTAAATTGCAAGGGGACCATGAAAGTGAGGTGCTGTTGAAGATCCAATGAAATAAAAGAACAGATTTTAATGATACAGATCATCTTGATGGTGGCTTAATTTTCTCGTACCATGGGCATTAACAGGTTATAGATAGAAATCTAAAAATATCGGATTTAAAAAAAACATTTAAACACATTGACTAACTGAGGTCAATTACAAAATCTGACTTCAAACACAGATGAAAATGTATTTGTATAGTACCCAGCGCAAATTTTTTTATTTTTAATTACAATTTTCAATACCTGATTTTTTTTTTACCTAAATAATGTTTTTCAGTTCCTATTAATGTTAACTCAAAGTACAAAGTTTGAAGTGCCTGCATGTAAAATATTTCAAATAAAGATTTATATTTAATATTTTTTTTGATATTTTCAAAATCGGGTATGATATACCCATGGTTAGTAGTGGTGTAACTTTAATTGATGGTTAGTGTTCTAGGGTTAAGGAAACTTATTATATTAGATTTTTGAAATATTCTTTTAAAAGAACTTTAATTAATTTTTTTTTTTTAAGCAACCTATAATTAATACCTGATTGTTAATTTTTATAATTAATACTGAATTTTACAGTGGATATAAATATGTTACTAAAATAAGTATTTTATCACTTCCTGTGATTTCTTATAAGGGAGCATATTCCTGTTTTGTTACATGGACGGAGGCTGATTTGTATATTTCCATACATAACAATTAAGTTTTGTTTTGTTTTTTTGATGGCATTAACAAGTTGGGTAAAAATACCCCAAGAATTGTTACCAGAACATTTCAATTGATCATTCCTAAAGAGTTCTACAGATATTTGCTGTAATTTTGAAGAGAGTCATTCACCTTTCAAAATTTATTTGGACAACTGAAATAATTCTTGGCATTTTTGATTATATTACTACAATATGCTGGCTGTTCTGTTCTACAGCCTTCTTCATATAAAAAATACATTGAAACTGAAGAAGTGAATGGATGGAAGAACAAGGACAAAGAAGGGGTAGTAAAATGGTCAAAAGTTACTTAAAGTAATAAAAAATAGGAAGTTGTGGAGAGTCCTGATCAACCACGTCTTGAAGAGATACAGTATATAAAAGAAGTGAATGGATGGTAGAATAAGAACAAAGAGGGGGTAATAAAGAGGTCAAAAGCTACTTTGATCATAGAAAAAGAAAAAAGAAGTTGTGGAGAGTCATGAACATCCATGTCTTGAAGAGCCAACATATAAAAAAAGAAATGAATTGGGGGCAGAACAAGGACAAAGAGGGATAGTAACGTGATCAAAAGTCACTTCAATTAAAAAAAAAAAAAAATGAAGTTGTGGAGAGCCATGATCGACTATATCTTGAAGAGATACATGATATAAAAGAAGTGAATTTGATATAGACAAACCTCTTTTTCCATTTGAGATTCAAGACGAGTTTCCAATTGCTTTTGGTTATTTTCATGTTTGGCTTCGATGATACCAATTTCAAGTTTCCAACTCTCCTGTGAAAGGAAAAAAAGAAAGAATTCTCACTAATGACACGTCAGAAACGTTTGCCTAATTTTATCCAAGTGACAGGAATTTGAATTTGGTTAAAAATGAAAAATGAGAAAAGGTGCAGTTGTAGCCTTACATTTTCTCTTGAGACGTTTTCCAGTTTCAGTTTCAATTCTGACAATTCTTTTTCCAGTGAATGAATTTTTGTTTCAGATTCAGAAACTTTATTCAATAATTCTTCTGCCTGCTCCTAGAAAAAAAAAAAAAAAAAAAAGGCATGAAATAAGACATGACCAAAATATATTTTATCATTTGTACTAAGCACTACTAACCTTGGAAAAGGAGTGAACCCATGTCATTACATCACACTATTACAAATTGGCTAAAGCTGCTCATGCTCATTTGGCACTACTAACCTTGGAAAAGGCATGAACCGATGTCCCTACACCACATTATTAAAAGTTAGCAATGGCTGCTTGTATTCATTTGGCACTACTAACTTTGGAAAAGGCATGAATCCACATTGCCTGACTTATTCAGTAAACCCACCTACAACTTTTGTTTTATTGCATCAACAAGTGCATGAGGCAGGGAATAATAGATTGCAGAATGGTATACACCATCTGTACAAACGTATGCACACAAAATCATAAGCCAGTGTTAAAGCCAACGGATGGCATGCATTGTATAAATGGTGCATGTATTGATCTGTTTATGTGACAATTTAATATACACTGCAATTTAATCTTGAATAAATTGAATCACAAATTCAGTCTTTTAATTTTATGGTATATCAACCTCAATGGGTTATTTAATGCCGACAAAATTTTTATTGTTGGTAATATGTTTTTCTTCAAAAATCTATTTGCCCATAGCTGGGACCCTAACAGGTGCTACCACCCTGGGTCAGAGTAGACCTGGGAACACCAGCAATTAAGAGGTAGTTCCATGCTCCTCAGAACCTCCTGATCAGAGGCCTTGCTGCTGAATGTAATTTATCGTTTTACCCAGGATGTGGATGTAGTTTATCGTCATACCCAGGACAAATGTTATTTCTTATAAAATAATAGATATTCAAGACAGCCAGGCACACGTTTCCAGGTGTTAACTCAAATACAGTATTTGATATATAGTAGATATGCGTCATGTCTGTTGAAATAACAGATGATATTTAAATATGTGTGGCAAACATTATCGATGCTAAAGTGTGTAAAAGTAAGATGCAGTAGGATGTTTTGATCATATACATGTCACGTGTAAGGAAGTAACAGATAATATTCAAATAAGTGTAAGAAAACATTCTGGATGTTAAAGTGCGTAAAGGTTAGTGAGACGCTGCAGGATATTTTGAACAATTTTTCATTAAAGTATATTTTGTATATATATTAATTTTTATGTATTCGGAATAAAATAAAACTGGTGTCATGAAGAAAAGTATCCTTTTCACATTCCTTTTTTTTTTTTTTGCATGACATGTTTGCCATGAACCATATTTAGATAATTCAAATGTCATTTATTCTTAGGTCTGACTCCACAAATTAAAATTCTTTAGGTTTACATCAGGTCTAAGAGATTTTTTTTTAATAGCACTAAAGGCTGCAGGGAAACTTTAAATTTCTTTTGGGATCTGTAGATTTGATAAATTTCAAGTACATGGTTCATTCTAAGATCCCACACAGAGCCAAAGGTAGGTAACTCTGGTTTTAAATATGTTGAAATCATGTTAAAATTAAAAAATTGAAAAAAAAAAATATTTTGGATTATTTCTTACTCATATTTCTGACTATTTAGGAAGGAAAAAAATATCAACCTTTTCTTTTTCCTGCAAGTTTCTGTGACTTTCAGTAATTTCTTCAATTTTCTTCAGCAATTCTTGTTCTCTTTCAATACTTTTTGCTTGCTCCTGAAGAAGAAAAAAAACTAGAATTATAGCAAATGAGAAAATGAGTCAGGTGTTCATCAATTTTTAAAAAATTTTATTTACTAGTATCTATCTATATTTCTGAGATGAGGTATTATGTATACTGTTTACATTATTTGGACTATTGTTCTCATCTTTGTCAACATACTTATTACAACGTTTCAGCTGTTGTACACTCCAGCCTTCTTAAGGCGAGAAGAAGCTGAAATAATTAAGGCGATAAGAAGCTATCACCAAAAGACATACCATATTGAGCGATGTTATTTTTTTTTTAACAAAGTGGTAAAGATTTTATTTTTATTTGCGAAGAAAAGTATTTTTTTTCCCAGAAGATAGGAAATTCGTAAGATCTAGGATCTGTCGAATTAATTTATGCTACGAGGCGGCGAATAAAAGGTAGCCATCTGCCTATGGCAATAATGAAAATTTCAAATTCGTCAAGTGGCCTACGAAACAGAAGCTGGGAGATAATGTTAATCAGGTCACGTACTGACTGAGAAAGGCATCAGCTGAGGCCACCCAAGAAAAGCGAAGAATAAACCATTAATTATCTTTCAGAGATATCATTTGTTTTTGGAAAGAGACCACTTGTTTTATTGTCCAGACCTGTACATGATAAAAGTTTGTTATCGGGATGGATAATTGGATACAGAGTGCGAATACGTCCAGTTAACCACCCATTTGACCCTGGCAAAAATCTCATTGATAAATTCCAGGTGCCATTCGGTTAAGACAGAGATTAAGGACCATACTATGAGTCGTAGAGGTCTGGTGTCGGGAAGAGAAAGAAAAGAAAAAAAAGATGAATTTTTTCCTTTGAGTGATAATTGTAAACACCTGCGCTGCTGAGCGTCATTGGCTGAGTGGTGGCGTGAGTGGTGGGCGAAGGTAAACATAGGAGGAGGAGGGACGCCTCTGAGGGGATTGGTGTGAGATACCACTTGTGAGAGAAAAGAGAAACCTGTTGATGCCCTCTGAGGGGATTGGTGTGAGATACCAATATGAGAAAGGAAGAATTTGGGAGGACAATACCCTTAAGAACCCCTCTAAAGCAAAAAGTAATGGACTTCCAAAAATGGAAAGTGATAAATTTTCCTGTCCGAAAACAAAGAAAATCCTTATTGTGGATTTAGAATTATCGAGGAACTCAAACCCTGACAAGCCCACACACGGTTTTGGTTGGCGTCCATATATGCAGAGTTGCAGCGAGTTAGTTAGTTACAGTTGGAGAGACGCAGACAGAGTTGAGCTGTGAGCTTCGAGACCAGCCTCGCAGGAAGCTGACTGAAGATCCACGCATCCCGACTTCGACTTCTAACCAAGAACAGTTTATTTTTGAAGAATGACTTAGACTCACACCACCAAAACAAGTTTTACGAATATCGCCTGAAGATACAAAAAAAAAACAGTTATCGAAAAACAACTTAAGATATTAAGACTCGCCTAACAAACACAAAGTGTCACATTATCCATAGAAGCTGTTTGGGAGAAAGGCGCAGTTCTGTATTCAACAACCAAATATAAAAAATATTTGTTATTCTTTTTTAACACATTTGAAGTTTTCGAGTTGTTACTTTATTTTCTTTTACATATACTTGTGCGATGTCACCTTTGCTCGAATTCGCTTGCATTACATTGCGACTGATTGATTTCGTCTACCTAAGATCAAAATCTGGCATTGGGTAGGTTAGACCAGAAGTCAAAGCAGTTACTTGATAACCAGGCGTTGGAGGAGAACTGGGAACGACAAAGCTGATAGCGAATCTAACCAGATTCCCATCCGAATTGGTCAAGGGTTAGAATGTCACATTTGGTGCTGCAACCAATACCAAGTCACATTGGTCATTTCAGGATAGCACGGGCGCGGAGAGGCCAGGGGTGACGTCACACAAGAAAGATTGAAGATTTGTTGTTTATAAACAGTAATTCGGACTTTGTTAACCAGATGCCTCTTTATACCTGAATGGTTAACAGCAGATCAGATCAAATGACAGTTTTACCATTAGGGTTACAGGTTCAATTCCTGTTGGAGAAATACATATTTTCTATGAAATTTCTCAAACATTCAGGCCAGTAAATGTAATTGTTGTAAACTGGGGAAGGTTGCTGAATAGAATAATTAAACAAAGGTTGGTAATGAATGATAATACTCAGGACAAGAACAACACATATAAGATTCACTAGCAGTGCATAGAAGAAGGAGTCAACTGCTAGAAGCGAGCCAAGTGAATTCCACAATGTATTGAACAATTGCAAACCCTCTATACCTCCTTTATTCAACCAGTTCGAAGTCCTGACCTCCTCTACCGACAAGGCTGAATGCTTTGCTCGGAAATTTTCATTCAACTAACGCTCGACTCTTCGGTGTACCCATACCCGACTTCCCTCTTAGAACTGAGGCCATATTGAGTGGGTTAAACATAACCCCATCTTTGGTACTGGGCGTTATCTCTAATTTAAATCCCAACAAAGCTAATGGCGGTGACGGGATACCAGCCATTGTCTTGAAGAAATGCGCGCCTGAACTGGCGCCCGCCCTTTTGAAACTATACAACTACTGCCTCAAGGAATCTTGTTTTCCTGACTGCTGGAAGTCCTCTTCGATCGTTCATGTCTTCAAGAACTCCAGTGACCCCTCTGACCCTTCCAACTACCGTCCTATCAGTCTCCTTCCCCTCTTCGGCAAAGTCTTCAAAGCTCTAATCAATATCAGGGTAGTTAACCACCTCACATCCCATAATCCCATAATCTGCTCTCTGACAAACAATATGGTTTCCGCTTTGCCCGATCTACAGCCGATGTGCTCACAGCCATCACTGAAAAGGTCTACTGAGCTCTCCAAAATAATGGGGAAGCCCGAGCCGTGGCACTAGACATCTCCAAAGCATTTGATAGGGTTTGGCATGCCGGCCTTCTGCGCAAGCTCCAGGGTTATGGCATTACGGGTCGATTATATAACCTAATACAATCATTCCTGTCAAACCGAGAACTGAAGGTCGTTCTCACCGGATTCTCCTCCAGTTCCTATCCCACGAATGCAGGTGTCTCTCAAGGCTCAATCCTAGGCCCCACTCTATTCCTTATCTACATAAATGACCTTCCTGGCCGTAACTTCCCAAGTAGGCATCTCGCGGATGACATCACAATTTATTCCTGCCTCAAAACAAATCTAGTCTCGCTGACAAAACTCACCTTGCTGTGCGTCTCGAAAAAGGACCTCCAATCGATTGTGAACTGGGGCATGAATTGGCTGGTCAACTTCAGCGCTTCAAAGACAAAACTGCTCTCTATTAATCACCACAGAGTGCCTTCCCTTCCCTCCATTAGAATGTCTGACGCTCAACTTCTAGAGCAACTCTCTGTGGCTTCTCGGTCTCCGTTGACTGCTGACCTGAGATGGAATAAATACATAAGTCAATTGCCTCATCCCTGCGAGGAAAGTTGGCTCCCGAGCTCGCTAGGAAGTTTTTCTCCCCTGAGTCAATCCTCCAGCTATACAAATCCACAATTCGCCCTTGCATGGAGTATTGCTGCCATATATGGTCTGGCGCCCCTTCTGTCTGCCTCGGGGTTCTTGATAGGCTCCAGAGGCGGATATGCAATATGGTTGGCCCTGCCCTGGCGTCTCACTACAGTCACTTTCTCACAGACGTGCCGTCGCCTCCCTCTGTCTGTTCTACAAATACTTCCATGGAAATTGCTCCGAGGAGCTGCATTCGCTGGTTCCCAGACGTCATGAGTTCCAGTGCCCTACGAGGCTGGCATCCCGCTCTCACCCCCTCACTGTCGAAACTCCTAAATGTAGCAAGTGTAATGTCAATCGACAACTCCAGTTGCCTTGATCTATCCACTACCCTCATCCTTTCTTCTATCACTCCTATATGATCTTGCTTTTTCCTTCTAACCCCTTGCATCCTAGTGGCTTCCCGCCTTGCTTGGGGCGAAACGCTTAAAAAAAAAAAAAAAAAAAAAAATCTGGGGACATACCTATTATTGTTCGTTGGTATGCTACAACAGTAATTAATACTGTTTATTTAAAAAAAAAAAAAAAAAAAAAAAAAAAAGAGAACATTGGCTTAAATAAATTGTATCTATTAAATAACATATAAACAGAATATACACACACAACACATACATTATCTAAGAAATATAGTTTTACAGTGTGCTATATTTATGGGATAAAGTGCTCAATATCAGAGATAGAGCGTATGTAAATATAAAAGTGAACATTGAAGTCAACACTCAGAGGCGACAGACTGTTTCATGTGAGATGATTGCATCTGAGTGTTGTCGCCTCCAGTGTGACACAGACCATACAGAGGTACAAGTGAATTAATATATAGATAATAATCGTATGAATGCTGTTGTGTTTGTTTGAAATTGGTGACACAACAAATTTATGAATATCATAGTCTTACCTCTTCTAGTTGGTGGTTAAGATCGTTCAGTAATTTCTCAGACGTTCGTAATCGTTCACTCTGGTATTCCCATTCTTCGACCATTCCTTGATTTTGTTCTTTTTCATTCAATAATTGTTTCTCCAAAGACTTTTCATTTGATTCCATTTCTTCCAACTGATTAAAATGTGATTAAAAAAAAATAAATAAAAAGAAAGAAAGATAGTGTCAAATTACAAAAATTGATATTTTCATATTTCTTCAACAAATGCAGGTATCCATTAAAATAACTTTTGAAATACCATGTATGTATATATATATATATATATATATATATATATATATATATATATATATATGGCCACATAGAGACCTGATTTGTCAGGAAGTAGACCTCATGATGTTATCAGTCTCTCATCCCAGCATGCAGCACTTTTGGAGAGTGCCTGAAAACCACACCATGGGTTGATCCAAGCCTTGGAGGCCGTCAATACCTATGCTAGCATGAAGTCACAAGTCATCGTGGCAGAGGGTTTTAATGTGATGGCCTTGTTCAAATTGTTGATCACACTAGATAACACGCTCTCTCCCAGAAACTGTAAGGTCTGCTCAGCATAGCTGCAGTTGGCTCTGTGGGTGTTGAACACAAATGTGCCTGAGCCAGTGTCTGCAATAGGGATTGACTAGCTATTTTTTTTTAATATTTTTATATATTATATATTTATATATTATATATATATTTTTTTTTTTATATTTATCTGTGTATGAATTTCTAACAGCAAAAAATTGCAATATGAGCAGTGGTAAAAATGATTGCTGAAGACATTAGGTTTATAGTACCCAGAAATTCATACACGGATGTCCTCAAGGACACAAGGCACAGTGGATGAAGGCGTTGGTTATATCCAGTGACAGGATGAGTTCAATACCCGGTTAAGGCAGTGGCGAACTTTCAGATTTTAACAGGCGATAACTGACATCCATTAAACATGGCACGTGGAACTATAACAGTCTACCCCAGTGAGCGAAATAAATTTCGACATTCCAACCACCTGAAGAAGGCTGGACTGTACAACGGCTGAAACGTAATAAATATGGCGACAAAGATGAGGACAATAGTTCGAATAATGTAAATAAGTCTGAATATTTTAAGCACTTCATACATAACAGTCTCTGCTAATCAAAAACTTGCATGATTCTCTTACCAATATACTTCAGGTGCAGAAAACAGTCACAGACTACAGAATCCATGTTGTCCAAGTCCTGCCTACACAGCTCACACAACCACCGTGCTGACAATCTCAAATATATTATATTCTTAAAACTAAAACACTATTTATATTTAGCAGCAAAATTTTACTGGGACTGGTAAAATAGTCTATTTGAAAAAGAAAAAAAAAATGACCCTGCAACAATCACTCAGTATACAAGCTCACTCAATGGCATTTCATAACTATGTGACCATATATGGGCAATAACGTTCTCTCTGTAGGTGTTGAAGTTGTATTAAGGCTGCACAACTGGTTTCCAAGATAAAAGTCAAAAGGTAAAAACCCATAATACACAATTGTTTTTTTTTGTTTTAAGAAATGTAATTAAAATGCAATTGTGTTTTTTAATCCAGGTTTGCTCTTGAAAATGACCACCAATCTGTGATTAACTGGAGCACGGAATGGCTTATAAATTTGAACACTTCCAAAACAAAACTGCTTTTATTTAATCAACATACAAAATTGTTTTTCTGCCTTCCATCAGCCAGCATTGCTGATGTTAACCTCCATGAGAGCGACTCTTTGTGCCTTCTTGAGGGTATCGCTTTTCCACTCACATGAAGTGGAAAGATTATATTGAATCAATTGCTATGTCTGCTGCTAGAAAACTTGATTCACTATGTCATGCCAGACAATTTTTCTTATCAGAATCCATAAGATCGATTAAAAGACAGTGTATAGAAATGTACCAGAACAGACATTTCAGCTTTCAAGAATTTTTAATTTTAAACCACCCAATTTGAAATTTTAATTTTTTTTACCTTATGAATCACTCTGGAAGTTTTCTCTTTCTCTTTGTTTAATTCTTCCATGACATCCGAAAAATCATCTCTCATTTTTGAGGTTAGCTAAAAGAGGAAAAAAAAAAAAAAAAAAAAAAAAATTATATTTAAGGAGATAACGTTTAACCTTTCAGAATTCATGCAGAACAAAAAGAAAAAAAAATGGATTATCCATGACAAAATTAAATTAATTAACAGCACTCATAAAGGGAAAACACAGGTCTTGTGTACAAGTGATTAAATCATGTCAACTTAGCCAAGTTAACATGACTTAACATATTACAGGATGTGCTAAGTCTAGACCACTTTCAATTAATTCAAAAGGTTATTAGGACTAGTATCCTCATCTTTGTTGGTTTCATGACATTTTTGGCAATATGTTCTTAGGCATGTGTACTTATATATATATATATATATATCTATATATATATCTATATATCTATCTATATATATATATATATACACAAACACACACCACAGGGTGGGTCACTATACAGTCAGTCATTTATGTGTCATGTTTGATACACGCTTAGTTGATCATGTATCTTTCAATACATGACTGACGAGGCAGATTTTTTTTTCCTGCAGTAAGGTGCCATTTCTTTCTGTGTTAGACCAGTTGCCATCCAAGGCTATAGAACCTGGTCTGTGCTGCTATTTACCCATAGCTGTGGGTGGGGGAAAAGAGGATTCATACCTTTCCCAAGAGTATTAGCACGTCAGTGAATGTAACAGATTCAACTGGAATTTGAACTCTTCTCTCTGATTCATCAATCCGAGCCGCTATCCATTACTCCACCAGGTCACCATACAGTTACATATAATAAAAAAGCAAGCCATCGAAACAGGTAGCTTGCAGTTTGAACAGTATCGGTAATTAATTTACTATTGTTTACCATAGAATTTTATTGTTATTAACCAGAATCATTTTAATAATAAATTTATGGGCTCTTAATTGATATTGTAAGTAACTGTATAGCAACTTTATTGACACCCTATATATTTTTTTTTCTTATAGCTTTAAAATGTTTATTTTTACTGGATACTTGTATTTGAGTAGGCACTCCTTTTATTTATTAAACATAACCTTCAAGAAATCTTATTAAACAAATTTACTCCCTCTGGCAAGTTAAATTTTTCTTTAATAAAATTTCTCAAACATTCAGGCTGGTAGATGACATTAAATAAATATACTGTTTAATAAATAAACGGAGCGTCTACTCAAATATGAGCATCCTCCAATAATTACACTCATACAGAAGGACATCGGGTTACGTTGGAGCTGATGTATGACATTTCATGGTTAAGGCACCATTTCCCATAATATGTAGTCACATGGCACTTTATGAACAAGACAGCATTGTTTCTTCATTGGCTGTATGCCATATTGAGTTGTGATATATTTGCTATCTTGTTTGTCTTGTTTGTGTCATTTTTTTTAGGGGAGAACTTTATTATGGCTCCCAAGTGTAAGGCAGACTCATGGGTGCTTATGTAGGTGAGTTCTGACATAAGTCGAAGACACTCTGTACCTCTGTGTATATATATATATATATATATATATATATATATATATATATTATATATATATATATTTTGTTATATAGGAATAAAGTGTCACTGCTGACACTTGAGTTTGAACACAGTTCACCAGTGAGCAAACAAAGGCAATCCCATTATTGAATTAAGTAGACCATGTGACCATAGAGGAAATGCATAAGTAGGAAGTGGCATGACGTTCAACTGATCGCTATTTCTAGTCTATCCTCTATCACTATATGGACCGCCATTCTCTACTCTATTCACTATACTGATCACTATTTGGTGATTACTATTCGAGTGAGTATTAGCGAGCAAGTACTATTAATGTGAGTGTTAATCTAAGTTGTCGGACCCTAGTATTGTTTCAACGGTGTAATATAGTTGTAACTGATTACAAAGTCTCTACTACAACAACAAAGTGACAACAAGTATTCGTTGACATCACAAAATATATATATATATATATATATATATATATATATGTGTGTGTGTGTGAAGAAATATAGTTTTAAGGTGTGCTATATTTATAGGATAAAGTGCTCAATTTCAGAGATAGAGCATATGAAAATATAAATATAAAAGTGAACATTGAAATCAACATGCAGAGGCAACAGGCTGTTTCATGCTAGGCACAATCGTCAGGCCGTGAATGTTGGATTTTTCCTCAGCTATTTATATATATGGGTCAGTGGTGCATTGTGGGTTATCTATTCTGGTGGTTATTTTTGTGGGAGTGGCTTGTTTATTTATTTGCTTGGGTTGACTTATTTGTTTTTCATTTTCATTTTGTATTATTTATTCTTTTCAGTCTTTGATGTTTTATTAATGTAGTAAAAAAAAAATTGCAGGTGGGGTGGATTTGCTTAGGTCACTTATTTAATAGTTAGTCTTGTTCTGGGAAGATAATTAAGACCATTTATTCATTCAATGTTTAGATTGCTTACCATAGTCTATTCAGTTATTTTGGCGCTTTGAATTTTTAATTTATTTGGATTTATTATTTTTACTTATTTTTATATATATTTACTTGTTTTTACTTATATATATATATATATATATATATATATATATATTTATTTACTTGTTTTTACTTTTTATATATATATATATATATATATATATAGTTTGTGATCATTTTGTTTTGTTTGTTTAGCGACATATCAACTCATTATGGATCATTTAATGCTGAAATTTGATTTCCTTGAGAGCTTGGAAGTAATAAAAATATGATGCATGTTATTCTGCTTTCACAATTGAATACATGGTAGATGATACTCAGCTTTTGTGCATATACATGTTTGTGTGGACATAATTACAAAAGGGAGTGCTGTGTGCATTTTATATTGTTGAAGTTGTTTTGGAATACTGTTTGATTTACTTAAGAAATTATATGGATAATTGAAATCTAAATATTTTGAATGTAATTGCATGCCTGCAACTACAGATAAAACGTGTTGTTGGTCATTTTACTATTTATATGTATTCCTGGTCATTAGACCTGCAAAAAACGGCATGTAAGAGGTGGTTCCATGCTCCTCAAAACCTCCAATCTCCCAATCAGCAGCCTTGCTGCTTGATGTAGTTTATTTTCAAACCCAGAACTTTCTATATATCAGTAGTTAACAAGCATGTCACAAAGATCATTATGGCAGAAGTGAGTTCAATTCTGGGTGCCCCAAACTTCTGACCATGTGCCAAACTAACCCAATCTTATTAAGTATCACTGCCCCTTGCCATGGATCAAAGCCAATAAGCTGATTTTCCTGACTTAATAGTAATTTCCTCACTGGTCTCTTAATACTTGTGGCCTTGTGCCTGACTAAGCCAAACAAATATCTATATGGCCTGCCTCTTTATACATCAGAATTTCTGGCAGTAAGAAGAAATTTTAAAATTTGAGGAGAAAGCAAAAGCATAAAAATATTTAAATCTATCTGAAGTTGAAAAAAATAAAAAAATGAAATAAATCAATATACCTTTCTTTGGTCATCAATGATTTGATCTTGAAATGATTTTTTCTTTCTGCAGTTCATTAATAAGTTGCATCTTTTTCAGCATCTTTTGTTTTCCAGGTCGACATTATCTTCCCAAGTTGCTAAAAAAAAAAAAAAATATATATATATATATATATATATATATATATATATATATATATATATATATTTTTATTATAAGAGATTATAATGAAAAGATTTTGAAATCGCTACATGAAACCTTTCATGTTTCAATACTCTTCAGGCGATGGTAAGTAACTGGTGATTAATTGATTTTTAAGGAAATTTAAAAACAAAATGTTACCTCTTTTCCGAAAGATAAAGGCGAGGGACATAAGGTCAGAATTAAACTTGTGGGTATGTCTTGATTAACCAATTAAATGTCAGCTCTACACTAAATAGATAAGTACGCTAAGAGGATGGAGGTGGGTGAGTTATTTTTTTATGTCACAATAAACTGGAACACAGACATGTTGTCATTGATGATTGCGGAATATATAATTTTATAATTAATTTTTCCTACATTGTCCAGCACTATATTTCATTCACTATTTCTAGAGAAAAAAATCCCTGTTAACTCTCACTGTCTGTGCTGGCCGACTTTTGGGAAAAATAGAAATTGCTCTTTACTTGAAATAAATTATTATAAAGGCATCGACAGCATTTTCTCCGAGGCAACATCATTTTGGTTTTGATTGGATATTCTGCAGTACAGAGTAAGTGCCCCCCTGCCCCCCCACAAAAAAAAACAAAAACAAATAAAAAACAGACAATTTATATTGTCTGTTTTTTATTTGTTTTTTGCTTTGTTTAAAAGATATGTCAAAAAACAAGTTTGTGTTGTATGCTAGTATAATGTCTACACTGGTTCGGAAATAACACTAAGCACTGACATTTCTATACTTACAGAGTGTGTGTGTGTATATATATATATATATATATATATATATATATATACACACTTTGGGGGGTGTATATATATATATATATATATATATATATACATATACACACACACATACACATTGTCACTCTGGGAAAGAATAACAGTTCATTGCCAACAAATTAGGGGACAAACACATACCCCAGAAAAATACCCCTTAGCCAATATATAGAGGAATGCGGAGGACAAAATCTGCCAAATTTTAGTGTCTTCCCATTCTACCAGTGTGATTACAGAACTACTGAACAAAGGCAGATTAATAAGGAAATATTTTTCATCATCAATTTCGAATCCATACTTAATTCATTGCATAAATAGATTCTACCAATTTCCTCTTACCATAAACGACATCTATAGCCAGTTTCGTCCCTTGATTTTCATTTTTTTCATTGATAAACATAAGCTTCAGCACGTGGAGAGCAAAACAGTTAAAAACTTTTTGAAAAGCTAAGCGAAACCGGTTAAAATAAAAACGTTTAAAAAAAGAAAACAACAAATTATTTTTCTAAGAAAAAAAACACTGAAAATATTGTAAGTAACAAAGTTTTAATTCTTCTCTGTAAAAATCCATATATTATAAATAAAATTTGTATAAATCCATATATTATAAATAAATATCATTATATTAAATATTAGGTGCCTTTTTTTTTTTCCAATTCTCATTTTAGTCTCTACAATACACTAATTGAATTTCTTTTTTCCAGGTTTTCCAATAAGAAGTTTATACATCTTGACACCATTTTTTATGAGAATCACTGAAAAACCCTGTTATTCAGCTAAAAAGAGACAAGGTAAAAACGTTTTGTGTCAGCCCCACTATGTCTTCCCAAGTGAGCAATGGTGAGAGGAAAACGATCATTCAGGCCTTCAATAATGGTACCAACATTCATACTCTTCAAAGTCCATTCAAGAACCATCAAGAGAATGGTAAATAAGTTTAAAAAAGAAGGACCAGTAAAGGCGAAAACTGGATCAGGAGGTCACAACATTTTAACTTAGAGCTAAATACATTCTTATTGGTCAAAATAGAGTCCAATAGTGTTATAAAAACCTTGGAGAATTCCAGTAAGATATCTTTATGCATTTATAAGATATATTTCAAAGCTTAATCTAATAATAGTTCACCAAAGGTTTCATTCAAGTTTTAATCACTGCTATTATAGAAACATATAACATACATTAACACTGAGAAACCGAAATGCACTAAAGAACCTAGTGAGAAATAAGAAAATCCCCATCAATCCCAGTCTAGATATAAAAGTCCCTCTACACCAACGTCCCAGTTGAAAAATGCCTAAACCTGAAAAAAAAAAAAAAAAAAAAAGGTTTCTAAAACAAAGATAAAGCTCCCTCTACCAACAGTTAAAATAATAAAAATCTGCCATCTCATCACCAATGAAAGCTACTTCATATTTAATAATGATTGTCAAAGAAAAATTTGGATTACCAATAGGATCACATGTATCTTCTTAGAATTTCTTGAATCTGTTTCTTTCCAAAGTATTTTATCCAAACAATCAACATACTTCTGTTATATTGATGATGCTCTTATATACCTTCATGATACTGATATACTTGACCTCAAAGATCAACTAAACAAAGTCAAACAATGGAATCTACATACGAAATGGAAGAACACAATTTCTTACCCTTCTTAGATATCAAGCTACAATGTTAACAAAAGTTTAAAACTTGGTGTCCGCTGGAAATCAACCAACAAAAACAAACTAATAAATTTCTATTTTCATTATAACAAAAAAATAAAATCCAGCATAATTATCGGATTCTACCTAAGAGCACTAAGAATATGCAGCCTGGATTATTTACACATATTTATGCATTTAATTTCATTTAATATTTACCTTTCATTTAGCCATTAAATAAAGAATTGTTAGATTGAATAATTTTAGCTTTTGCCTCCTATGCAAAAATGTAAATTCTTACTTTCTGTGTATTGTTTTCTAAAGTAAATATTATAATTGAAAGCTTTATTCAAAAAATACCCGTTCTTTGCCTCAGGCAAAGGTTAGCCTGGTTTTAATGACAGGGCACTTACTTTGTCAAGGTGCTCCACCAAGATTTCTTTCTTACGATTTGCGGACACTGCAATTGCTAATTGTTCTTGAACATCAAGCATCTGAAAGACAAAATAGAGGTTATTTTAAAAATGAAGTTCTATGGTCAGCCATTCTAACAAGGTTCATGATATTGCAAAAATTCGTTGAATCAAAAGTAGTATCATTTTTTTTTATGACGGAATGCCGGTTAACTGAAAGGTGGCTTAAATTGTAAATAAGAAAAAATATATTTTAAATCAACTCAAACAAGATGACAGTTTTCTCTAATAAATAGGTGAAATCAAACACTCACAAACGTTCATCCATAACAAAACAACTTGTTACAGATACAACAAAAATAGCATGTGTAAGTTTCATTATGGATATGTGTAACACCTTAATTGCAAATGGCTTATGGCCATATCATGCTAAAACACAGTTAAGTTAAGCAACATCAGGCCAGTCAGTACTTAGATGGGTTACTGCTTAGCAATACCAGGTGCTGTAAGCCTGGATGTGTGGGTAGCGTAATGGATAAAGGCTTGCAATGAGAAATCTGAGAACAGAGTTCCAATTCCAGTCAGGTTCATTATATTAACTCACATGCTAATACCCTTGGGAGAGATATGAATCTATCTCTTCTTCCCCAACTATGGGTTAAATAGCAGGACAGACTGGGTCCTATAGCCTGGGTGATGAACAGTCTAGGAGAAGGACAACTTTGAATTCAAAATCTCTCCTCCCCCAGCTATGAATTAAATAATACGACTTCTATCAGAAAATCATTATTATCTCCCACACATAAAAAATTCTTAAATCACAAAATACATGCTGGCTTTAAAAAACTTGCAAAAGGTTGATAAACTGTAAAAAACAAATGAATCAATTATTTACTACTAATGGTGTCGGCAAGTGCATGCTGTCAGCCTTTTAAGAGGTAAGTTGATATTTTCTGCACAAGGTAACCAAAAGCCAAAAATACAGTTCGATGACTGAATAATGATGCCATGAATTTATATGTAAAAAAACAAACTGCTGGAAACCATGTCTTTTGATAAATATGATGGAATAGTCTGAATTTCAGAAATGAGGAGTTATCATTATTCAAACTATTTACGTTTGAATGATTGACCCTATCTTTGTTGTTATTCCAACATTTCGACCGTTGTGCACTCCAGCCATCATCAAGTGCATATTGATCATGGTAATTTACAGGGAATTCTGAACTGAACCTGTGAGGAACGAGAAGACTTACCGCCTGCAAAGTGAATTTGTTTGGAGTGTCAGGTCCTGTTAAAAGATCATGACCAGCATTAAAAGAGAAATGGATTATTCTGAAATTTCCATATCGCGGACAGAAGAACAAAAAAAAAAATAAATAAATAAATAAATAAAAAAGACTTCAAACCAGCTTGAATTTATAAAATCGGAAGTCTCCGGCGAACAAGAAGTAAGTCTTGTATGCAAATTTTAGTTGCCCCCAGATGCAGGCATAAATAGCGAGTCTCGGAGGAAGACAGGAGAACGCATTGTTGGTGTGACGGCATATGTGTATACTAACGAGACTGAGAGAATAAGAAGTCACTAGCAACAGCTCAGTTGGTAGACCGAAAGACTGGACGAAAGCAAGCACTTTAATCCATTTCAGTCATCGCAAATGACGGGCGAACTGAATTACCCACAGAACCCTTTATTCAATCTACAGAGAGACTGTTCTCGTTCCAGTAAACCATATCACAGAACATCTCGTCTAGTTCTTATTCTTTGTACTGCTCAATTATTGCTTGCCCTGTTTCCACTGAGTCTAAGTACACACTCTCGGTTTCTTTGCTCTTCTTCCCCTACATTTGTTTTATACAAGGCTAGACCAAAAATTATGGGGATTTGTGCTATAAAACAAAACTACAATGCATATCAATTTGGCATTTAATCCCTTTCAAAGTAGTCCCCTTCTGAAACCACACTTTATCCAGCATCATTTCCATTGGTGGAAGCATTTCCAAAAAGTAGCTGTCTTGTTGCATTCTCTTGGATTTCCTTGCTGTCTTGAAATCTAGTTCCTTTCAAGTGAGATTTGATTTCTGGAAAGATGAAAAATTCTCAAAAGGCAAGATCTGGTGAATATCTTGATAGTTGGACCCGGGAAAAGTTGCAGTTGTCAGTTGTCTAAAAACAGCAACACAAGCCATGATCACTGATGGAACTTCTGTGGTGTGGTGAGACGACCACACTCTACACACTTTCCTTCCAAGTACTGCTACAAACAATGAAAGTGAGTGAGAACGTTATAATTTAGTGTGTATACCTGATAGGGTCCAAAGTCAATTTGTACTAAGGGGCTTTAATCTGTATACTTTAGCTCTGATACTACAGCAAAATCTTGATACTTTTTGATCAGTCCTTGTACATATATTGTGAATAAAAAAAACTTAGAAATGTTCATTTTTAAAGTCATAACAAATATATGATAAATATATTTGACTCACCTTGGCATTAAGTTGTTCGATGTATTTCTCACAATGCTGTGGCAAAAAAATAAAAATTAAATTAAGACTTCTTCAAATAATAATCAAATATACATTTTTTTTTAGTGTGTCATGTACAAAATGCCAATTTTTGAGCACATCTGATTCCAGTCATATCAGATTATCCATTTTATCACAACAACAGAATCTAATTAACAATAATACTTTCATCCACCTCTGACCCAGAAATTGTGCACATCTCATTTCTTTAGAAACTTAAAATATTAAATTCCTACTTAATATTTTAATTAAGTGCATAAATGCAGATCTTTATGTATTTAAACACAGTACTAGATTGGCAGCTAGGTCTCATCAATTTACAGCTGAATTGGCTAGATGTAACCATAAGTTCTATGCTAAGAGTTTCTTCTATTGCACTTCTCACTTGTGGAACTTTTGAATTCTTGCTTCCCAATCAAATTTAATCTTCAAAATTTCAATGCAATGTCAATCGTTATCTCCTGTCTTCTTAATTCCTCTTCTTTTATTGTCCTTTCCCCTCACTAAAGTCTTCTAATTCTCTTTCACTCTTCTTACTTTCCAGTCAACTTTGATCTTCAAAAATTTCAATGCAATGTCAATCGTTATCTTCTGTCTTCTTAATTCCTCTTCTTTTATTGTCCTTTCCCCTCACTAAAGTCTTCTAATTCTCTTTCACTCTGCTTACTTTCCAGTCAACTTTGATCTTCAAAAATTTCAATGCAATGTCAATCGTTATCTTCTGTCTTCTTAATTCTTGTTCTTTTATTTCCCTCTCTCCTTATTAGTAGTCTAGTAAAATGGATTTATCTGTAACCTTAGAAACATGAATTATGTTTTAGCTGTGTCTTTAAAACCTAGTAATTTTAAAAGTTACTCCAAAATTCGCTTGAGGATGAAATGGAACTAATGTCTTTAATTACAAAAATTAAATTGAGACTTTTTAGCTTCCATTTTTGAAACATGGTTAGAACTGTGTAGCAAAAAAAAAAACATTTTAAATCAATTAATTTATAATATTAATGCTCTGTAAATTTACATTGAGCACTATTTTGTAAAAATAAAAATATCTATAAGAACACGGATTATATATCTTACTGTTCTTTTTTTTTTTTTATTTTTTATATATATATATATATATATATATATATATATATATATATATATATATATATTTTAATTTATTTGTAACAAAACAGTTATTTCTGATGAAAGATTGAGGGCAATCTGAAATATCAAATATATGTATAAATAAATAAATACTTTCATAAAATAAAACATTATTATTTTTTTTTTAATTTGCAACTTTTTTTTTTATATATATATATATATATATATATATATATATATATATATATATATATATATAGTGTGTGTGTGCCTGATGTTCACTCTGTATGTGGCCCAAGAACCACTCACAGGAGAGGGTTACAGATTGACTCGAGAACACTAACCATCAATTAAAGTTACACCACAACTAACCATGGGTATATCATACCCAATTTTGAAAATATAAAAAAAAGTATTAAATATAAATCTTTATTTGAAATATTTTACATGCAGGCACTTCAATCTTTGTACTTTGAGTTAACATTAATAGGAACTGAAAAACATATTTAGGTAAGAAAATCAGGTACTGAAAATTGTAATTAAAAATAGAAAAATTTGTGCTGGGTACTATATACCCATGGTTAGTGTTCTAGGGTTAAGAGGTAGAGTTTATAGGGATATGTAGGGAGGATAACAGCTAACATAAGACTTGAATAGGTTAAAAGTGTAGTGATCTGGGAAGCATCGTCTTGGAAATCAGTTCCAAAAAGCAACAGTTTGTGCAAAGAAGCCACTAGAGTGGAATTTACATCTCACCAATGGAATAGGGAGGGCACAAGGGGGTCTGCTACAATGTGCATGGCATAGCAGGTATTAGCCATGAACATTAGAATTACTGGAACTAAGGAATATAGTTCGTCTGAACATTTGCCATGGAAATAGCAACAGAGCAGCAATGAACTTGTGATGTTTCATGTGAGAAATCTGAGATTGTAGAGTGCAAAATAACTTGTCACCCACAGGGATGCAGAGACACATTTGGTCTTGAGACTAGAAAGGGTAAGACTGGGCAGCTCCTACCCATATATTTAATGATGTGAAAGGGGAATTTCTAAGGACATTTTATTGTCGTAGAACTCGGTATGACCTTATACAATCATTAACTTAAGAATTACAATTCATCAAAAAAAAAAAAAAAAAAAAAAAAAAAAAAAAACAAAATAGGAAAACCATGAAATTTTCACGGTTAAAAAAAAAAAAAAAAAAAAAAAAAAACACTATTTACATTATTCGGACTTAATACATTGTCCTCATCTTTGTCGCCATATTTATACTGTTTCGGCCTTTTATGCTCCGGTCTTCTTCAGGTAGTTGGAATGTCAAACTGAACCATTTATTTCGCTCACTGGGGTAGACTGTTCTAGTTCCACGTGCCATGTCTAATGGATGTCAGTTATCAGTTATCTCCTGTTAATTCCCCTCTCCAAGTTCTTCACCACCTTAACCAGGTATTAAACTCACTTGAGGACACATGGCACAGTGGATAAAGGCATTAGTTAGATTCAGTCACAGGACCCAAAGAGTGTGAGTTCAATACCCGGTTAAGGCAGTGGAGAACTTTGAGAGAGAAATTAACAGGAGATAACTGATAACTGACATACATTAGACATGGCACGTGGAACTAGAACAGTCTACCCCAGTGAGCGAAATAAAGCGTTCAGTTTGAAATTCCAACTAACTGAAGAAGGCCAGAGTGTTCAATGGTCAAAACCTTTGTAATAAATATGGCAACAAAGATGAGGACAATAGTCCAAATAATGTAAATAGTGTACATAATACGTCATCTCAGAAATATAGACAGATACTAAGAAAAAAAAAAAAAAGAGGAAAGCGAAGGGAAAATTTGGGGAATAAAATTTAACCAGGCAAAAAGTTGGTTTTGGTATAGAAGGAGAGATAGACTGATACCTGTGCAAAAACAAGAAAAGGTTGAGATGGTTTTTCCTTTTTTTTTTTTTCCTTTTTGAAAGGCCTGGACAAAGTTGAATTGGTCAACACTAATTGGACATGATGTCTCCTCATTTTGTTTTGCTAGCTAGGACCAATGGACGTGTGTGAGGAAAGGTGCTAGCCTTGGCCAATGTCTAAGGGACCACCCCAGAGAGCAGAGGCGAAATGTTTTCTTCTTTCTTTTTACTTCAAGTGGTGAAAAAAAGAGACAAGAGATAACTCTGGAACACTTGGAATGGGTTTGGGGACAAGATTTTCTTAGCCTGGAAAATTTCGGTCAAGTGAGTGAAAAAAGAATAATTATTTACCAAACATGATAATTAGGAATAAAAAAGGCAGATAAAAATTTTATGATGCCGTTAAAAGTAACACCTGTTTTGTGTGAGGCATCCAAGAGTTGGGTGGAACACTTATTCACTAGATGGTGGCAGCATGAGGAGCTGATATGAGGAAGGGGGAGGAAAATGAATACACTCACTGAAAGATACTAGTGTGAGGTGCAGCAAGAGAAGGGGCAGGGGGAGAACAAGATGGCAGATCGACATGTTTCTACCACCACTCCCACAGAGGGAGCTCCCCATATTTGGACATACAAGGGCCAACCAGCAGAAGAGATTTGATTGGGTGACAGGAGATTTGAAGGCATCCCAGAACAAAACCCCAACCAGTTTTTGGAGGTTAGACTCCATAAATGGCCATGCAAAGATCCCAGAGAAAAGATTTTTTTGCTTACGAGAGATCATTCCAGCTATTAAGCGAGAGGCTAGCTTGCCCAAACCTTATGTGACATCTACAGTAAGACCCTGACTCTGGCCTTATTCTAACCTACTTTCCAGACTAACAAACTGTCCTGGCCAAAAAAAAAAAAAAAATTGCAAATGGTGACAGCAGACAGACACGCACACCATCGGTACCTGTGATTATATGACACCAAAAGTACCACTAGATTGACGAATATGAACTAGATAGCGTGCTGCATGCTATAGTTTCAAACAGCTTAGAACCAACTCTGTATTATTTATCTATGTGTGTATAAAGTTTATCTCTTGTATACCCACCATTAATTTTCACTTAGATGACTGCGGTGAGCCGATATTACAACTAGCAGTGGTGATCTCACAAAGCATAGCGACACAGAATATTTAGCATAGCGACTGAGACAACAGCTATGATATTTTTTGTCTCACAATTTTTTTCAGCGGCCTACTATATCTACTTATCTTTTTTTTTTTAACAATGATGTTCAGCTTGTACAAGGGTCAAGAGCCACTCAAGGTAGAGAGTTACAGAGTAAGAGGCATTAATAAGAGAATGAGGGTGGTTCATTACAATGTGTGTGGCATAGTGGGTCTTAGTCATGAGGGTTAGAATGGGTGAGACTAAGGAATGTAGTTTGTCTGAATATCTGGGACGTTTATTAACAGGGGGCAGAAAGTGTGACACTGAAACCTGGAGGTGCGTTAAGATAGCAAAAGATGCCTTCTGAAAGCTAAGCAGAGTATCAAGAAACAAGAAAAGAGTACTGAACTGTTACACGATATCTGTCCTCCTATATGTCAATAAATGCTGGTTTGGTTTGATTTGGTTTGTTTTAAGGCATATCAACACCTCAATGGGTTATTTAATGTTGACAAGATTTTATTGCTGGTTATATTTTCTATCTAGCTATCTCAGTATATATTGGTTTGGTTTGCTTTATGGCATATCAACACCTCAATGGGTTATTTAATCCCGACAAAATTTTCATTGCTGGTAATATTTTTTTTCCTTCAAAAATGTATTGCTGGTAATATTTTGTTTTTCCTTCAAAAATGTATTGCTGGTAATATTTTGTTTTTCCTTCAAAAATGTATTGCTGGTAATATTTTTTTTTTCCTTCAAAAATGTATTGCTGGTAATATTTTTTTTCCTTCAAAAAATGTATTGCTGGTAATATTTTTTTTCCTTCAAAAATGTATTGCTGGTAATATTTTTTTCCTTCAAAAATGTATTTCTGGTAATGTTTTTTTCCTCAAAAAATTATTGCTGGTAATATTTTTTTTCCTTCAAAAATGTATTGCTGGTAATATTTTTTTCCTTCAAAAAATCTAATTCTGGTAATATTTTTCCTTCAAAAATGTACTGCTCGTAATAGTTTTTTTCAAAAATGTATAGCTGGCAATAATTTTTTTTTTCTTCAAAAATTTATTGCGGGTAAAATTTTTTTACAAAATATTTCTTGTATTAAAACCTATTTTTACACTTTCATCATGTTTGACCCCAGTTTGGGGGCTAACTATTTGCCCATAGCTGGGACCCTAACAGAGGCTACCACCCCAGGTCAGGGTGGACCTGGGAACACCAGCAATCAAGAGGTGGTTCCATAATCCTCAAAACCTACTGATCAGAGGTCTTGCTGTTGGATGTAGTTTATCGTCATACCCAGGACAGCAGTGAATGCTCGACAATCTCCTCAAAGATGAAGAGACTTGAAACAACAGAAATGTGGTTCTACCGAAACATGCTGAGGATACAATGGACCTAGCATGTGTGAAACAACAAAGTTTTAGAGAAAATGCTAATGAAAAGGAAATTTATACTTAACATCAGGAAGAGACAGTTGATATTTCTAGGGCTTAGAAAAAAGAGGGCTTAGAAAATTTGTTACTCACAGGAAAGTTTGGATCATTTTTCACAGAATTTTTCTACCCTCAAGTCTACCACCAATAATTTGATCATAACTACCAATCAGAAACCAAGGGTTACTATTACCATGCTTTGTGGGAGATGGATTTTATTGATTTTCTCCATGGACACAATAGCAGAATTTGGGCCCAACTAACATCAAACAGAAAGGTGGAACTGGAAAAGTCTTAATCTCTGAAGCAGGACATGGAAATCAGCCAGCCTTGTTGGTACATAATGAGAAAAGAAGGTTTGGAAAATCTGATACTCACAGGACAGAGGACAACAACGCATAACCTACTTAGTGAGCTTGAGTAAATGGATGGCGGAACAAAATTTAGGAGAGATAACAAAAAGACAAAATTTATGAAGGGCCATAAAGGACAGGAAATTGTGGAGAGCCATGATCGCCAATGTCCTGGAGGGACACAGCACATAGAAGAAGAAGAATGAGCTTGAGTAAATGGATGGCGGAACAAGGTTTAGGAGAGATAACAAAAAGACAAAATTTATGAAGAGCTACAAAGGACAGGAAACTGTGGAGTGCCATGACCACCAATGTCCTGAAAGGACATAGCACATAGAAGGTGATGGGGAAGATAGTTAAAGACACTAAACAAAGAATATATCTCACCCTTCTCCGGAAGCGTTCTTTCTCTAACTCTTCTTTTAATTTGATGTTATCCAAATAAGCAGCATACTGGGTGTGGTTGGTCAGAGGCAACTGCCGGTAATGTCCAGCTTGAAGGGAATGACTAACAGGTGCCGTTAACATGGCAGTGGTAGTGGTACTGCTACTACTGGAGCTTGGCTCCAAAAGTTGCTGGTTAGACTCGTCGGCTACTAAGCCATTGTTTGCATAGTCCATCAGCCAACTGAAAAAAAAAAAAAGATATAGAAAGATGTCAAAAGTCATTTGAAAGACCGTCTGGTTATTTTGTTTAGCAGCTGATCACCCCTTTTAGATTATTTAATACCAAGAGACTTTTGTTTTTATTTATTTTTTTTTTTGTGGAGGGGGCTCAAAATGATTTGGAAAATCAAGCAACTACAAAAATTTAATTATCAGAGTAGTGTTGTAATGGATGATGGAAAACAAGGCACAGAAATCCGAAGATACATTGGAATAGTGAAAGATGTGTCTCAAAAACTAAAAGTATAGACACTCTTCACATAACAATTTATCTGTTTAACAATCGTCATGCTTATTACCAGCTATAAAATCACATTTAAAAACAAAAACAAATAAATCCTACCAGTCGGTATTTTACCATCATACTCTCTGATTATGATGTTTTTTTTTTTCTGCAAAATGAATCCAAATAATACATACTGGATTGGCCAAAAAGTTTGTTTGCTTATTTCATAGAAAATTCACTTAATAAACTGAACAAAATTTTGGGTCAACCCAATATTAACGCTGCATAAAATGAACATGTGATATCTAACTGATCAATGAAAATGAACAACAAAGAATTTAAAAAGAAAAAAGTTTAAGAACAGAAGCATCTCCATGATTTTGTTCAGTGGTATATCAACATCTCTATGGGTTATTTAATGCCAAAATCCAAATATTTTGAACACAATTTCATGGTTTCAGTTATATATATTTTGAATGCAATTGTATGCCTTCAACTACAGATAAAATGTATTGCAGGTTATTTTGATTTAAATATATATTGTTGGTTGGTTCATTTTGTTTAGCGGCATAGCAAAACTTTTATGGGTTATTCAATGCCGAAATCTAAATATTTTGAACACAATGGCCTCAACTACATATATTCTGAAAGCAACTGTATACCTTTAACTACAGATAAAATGTATTGTGGGTCATTCTACTATAAAAAATGTATTTTTATACTATTATAGTGTTTTGTTTTTGTTGGAGGGGGAGTTCACTATTTGCCCATAGCTGGAACCCTCATAGGATCTGAGAACAAGAGCAATTAAGAGGTGGTTTCATGTTCCTCAAAACCACCTGATCAGAGGCCTTGCTCTCAAATGTAGTTTATCTTCAAACCCAGGACTGGTAATATTTTTGTTTTGTCAAAAATCTATTTCTGTTAATATTTTTTTCCTCAAAAATGTATAGCTGGTAATATTTTTCCAAAAGCGTATTGCTGGTAATAGTTTTTTTTTTTCTTCAAAAATTTATTTCTGGTAATAATTTTTTAACAAAGTATTTCTGGTATTAAAACCTATTTTTACTCTTTTATAATGCTTTTACCTCAGTTTCAGGGTTAACTACTTGTCCATAGCTGGGACCCTAGCAGGTGCTACCACCCTGGGTCAGTGTGGACCTGGGAACACCAGCAATTAAGAGGTGGTTCCACGCTCCTCAAAGCCTCCTGATCAGAGGCCTTGATGTTGGACATAGTTTATCATCTTACCCTCGACGCGGATGTAGTTTATTGTCATACCCAGGATGCAGAAAGTAGATTGGACCAAAAACTTTTCAGCAATTTTATATCATAAAAAAAAAGGAGCTGATTCCCTGTCCATTACACACTGCATGCATATATGTAATATAAGTGGCCATTTTGTGTCATTTAATGTTAACACAAATACACATACAAGACATTTGAATAATATATTCTTCTCCCACTCAGTCTGGACATCTACCCTTGGCTGAGCAATACAATCAAAGTTGGAGACAAAAAATGTCAAATACGTGGGTATGGTTAAGCAGAATTGGAAAAACTTTCAATAACAATAATATTAAGAATAACAAGAAAAATAATGCAAAGCAACTATAAGACAATAACAAGGTAAAATGGAAATAGTGTTCACATGCAAAAGGGATACAGTCAAGTGGTTATAACATTCCGACTTCAAAGAAAGGAAGAAAAAAGTGTGGGTAAGGAAAAGAATTGTACATTTTTATTGGCTAGGAAGAAATCCCATCATGCATCTGTAGGATTTGTCCATAAATCTGGGGTGGGGGATTTTTTTTGCAATCCTTCCCAGAGATTTGAACCAACAACAAAATTAAACGAATATTTTTAAAACTCTAAACACAATAAAATAAGATTTTATTGAACTTTTCAGAAATTATTTGGTAATTAAAAAAAAAAAAAAGAAAAAAAAAGGCAAACTTGAACCTTTGTGCCTGCAAAAAAAAAAAAAAAAAAAAAAAAGTTTCAAAAGACAGGTTTTTCCTTTGACACCACTATTATTTTAACTACCTTCACTCCTCGGCAATGTTTATTGTTTACAAAAGTGATGATTAGAATTGTAATAAAACCTAAAAATATGGAAGTGAATTTATACTTTTTTTAAAACGCTATTTATAAGACTTTATTGGAATGGTCAGCAAAACATTGGATAATTGCCAATTGATTCAAACTTTATAAAATGGTAAATAACAAGTATTTCCTTATAGTTGGTTTACATATTTTAATAATTTAGTAAATGTTTATAAATTTATGAATAAAAAATTGTTCTCACATTTATTTCTTTATAAATTGGTAAATGATAAATATTGCATTAGTTTTAATACTGTTGTGGCCTTGTTTGGGCCAGAAATAAAGACACAAAGAGAAGAATTGAGTTAACAAATATATTAACAGAAAAACAGCAATACAATCAAATGCAAACAAGCAAGAATATTAAGTCCAACTGTCAAAGATGATTGCTGGAAAACTACACTTTCTAAAAGCAATACCTGCTTTTATTTGTAACCTGGGCGAGTCCATCTGTGTATGGGTAATTTACCATAACAAATACGATTCTATTAGTTTTTAGAATGTTGTAAATATAAAATTATTCTTGTAAATAAACAATCTAATAGTGTTGAATATTTACAAGGACATATTTTTTTACGTACAACAAAATGGCTGTGCAGTTTTGAGTAATTGATTGATATATCAAACCTTTGTAAATTATTTAAAGCCATAACATTTTGTATTGTAAGTAATTATTTTGTACTAGTGAATTGCATTAACAATTTTTGGGAGAATTATTTTTCCAGATACAAATCTTGCTATTTAACCCATGGTTAGGGGGGGAAGAAGGGATGGCTTCATCAAAGTGTATTTGTGTGTAAGCTAACAAACATGACTGAAATCTGAACTTGCTTCTCTGGTTTCTCATTTTAAGCTATTATTAATGTGTGACCCGCACAATTTTGATAATGAAACCAAAAAAAAAAAAAAAAAAAAAAAAACGCTACCCCTAGTTTTTTTTAGTTGACGAAAATCTGGAAATTATCTGATTTTAAATAAAATTTTCAATTCTTAATTATTTTATGCTGAATAGGAAACTTTATGAAAATATTTCTTGGTGTCCGTGTGCGTGTGTGCGGGGGGGGGATCAGTTTCACCACCGCCACCTACCATTTCAAGGTATAACATTTATTATGTACCTCCAAAATTACGCGCACTTTAACTATGTGGAAGTGGGGGGGGGTAAATACTATTTAAAAAATTTACCAAGTCAGGAATCTTCAAATTTCATTGAATTTTTTTCTTTTAAATTGAAAGTTTACGGAAGTATTTTCCAGTTGAGTTACACACCTCAACCCGATTTTTAACTCGTGGCTAATCCGTACGAGTGAAATTGGAGGTCAAAACTAAATCTCCGAATGTATTATATTTAAAAAAAAAATTTTTTAAATTCTTAAAAATTACTTTTTGTGGAGACTTTTGAAGCAAATAAATCGACTTTTATTTACGATTACAAAGGATTTCCAAATTCTGGCGAAAGTCTGTGAAACGATATTATTACATCAATTGCCAAGTCTGTTGCATGAAAGGCTGATTCCATATGTCGTGTTATATTTTTTTATTATTTCCTTACCTGTTTGATATCAGAAAATTTTTAATTAATTTCACCCAATGAGGTCTTTTTTTTTTTTTTTATACATTTTCAAGTTTATTACATCAGAAGTTCTACAAGAAAACAAATTGGTAGAAAGAATTGTTGAATAGAAACTATTTTACATTTTTTTTGGTTAATTGATATTGCAATCACAGAACTTTAGCTTAACTAATTAGTTAATTAGTATTTTTTTTTAACTTACGTAAAAAAAAAAAAAAAGAGAAAGAGAAAGAGAGAGAGAGAAAAGAAAGTTCTCTGGAAAATGAAAAAGTTTACATTTTTCAAAAAAAAAAAAAAAAAAAAGCAGCAACCAAAAAACAAATCTTGTCGCGAACAGCAATGGTATGAATTTCAAAATTACACTGAAAACTTAGAATTTCTTAAAAAATAAATATTCAGAATACAACTGTACATTTTTATTCCTGTCATATCTGGAAGATAATGGTTTTTAAATTTTAAATTAAGCAAACGAAAACTAAATCTCATGAAAAATGTTTTCAGTTTGAATTATATCTGCCAAAGTTCGAGACGAATTTTCAGTATATTTATTTATTTTTTTTTAATGAACAGGAATTTTATTTACTTTGCTTAAAGTGAATAAAAAAAAAAGTTGCGAATACACGAGATATCGAGGCAAGGTGACCCCCTCAAAAATAATTCCACAAAAAAAAAATTTTCTAATAAAATAAGCCGTTCAATATACAATTCATACATCAATGAATAAGCAAAATTTTGTTTAGATCGGATAATTCCATGATTTCTGGTAAATTTAAAAAAAAATAAATCGGTAGCGTTTTTTTAGCTTTCATATCGGAAAAAAAAGCATTCAGTTTTTGGCGGAGCCTCGACATAAAAAAAAAACAAAAAAAAAACATTTATTCTCTGGAAAAGTAGGGCCTTTTTCGTTAATCCGCCACCTAAATCCAACAGCCATAATCTTACGGAAGCCTTAATAAAAGGGAAGATTAAATTTTTAATTGTATTTCCTTTTCGCAACAAATTACGCAGCACTTATTTCGATTCACTGCGTCACTTAGATCGATTACTTCAAGACTTA